ATTTATCATGCGACAATAGCTTAATTGATTAGATCGATCCCGCTTGCTTTATTTCTGCTGCTCACGTAATCATGTCCCCCACGACCGATCGATGTAGTAGTATTCCGATCGATCTATCGCGAGATAGATCACCAGGTTTGGTTTTTTTTAATGAACGCATAAAAGAATTACACGTCAACGATGATGGATCGCCGGATCGCCACCACAAACGCCGGCCGCTTGCGATATGCCATGCGATGCAGCTAATTAGCGCGATGGCACGCAGCGCAGATCCGCCGCGAAAGCTCGCGCTGCGTGCGGTGTCTTGTTCCGCTTGTCGCGACGCACTTTGCACAGTTATTCTCTATTCCAAAAGCGCGGCACGTTTTCCCGGTAGTGCAGTGCAGGTGTGCAGGGGGTGCAGCAATGGCGGCTTGCGCACGAAGCAAAACACGTACTCCAGTAGGGGAGTACATGGCTTTTGCATTGCTCTCGCGCGCTACTATGCTACGTACTACCATGTTGGAATTAACGGGTGGCGATCGATCGAACGAGAGAGGACACGGCGCCCTGCAGCTCGATCGATCGATCCCATGAACGGATCATATATCATCCGATCGATCCGGCCATCGATCGATCGATCGATCGACAGAGCAACATGCCTGCATGGTCCATGTACCAAAATTAACTACCATAGATATTGCAACGGCATCCGGTCATTATTTCAGCAGCAGCAGCAGCAGCGAGAGCCATTCTGCTTTGCATGCATATGGGTCCGACCGGCCGGCCGGCCGGCAGCGAGGGAGGGAAATGCAGAGAGGAGAGACAGAGAGAGCCACTTTGCAGTGCATTTTGCCACAAGCTACTGTACCATTTATGTAAAACAAGAACATCAAACAGGGACAAAGGCTGGCCGTTGCAAGGTGGCTTTGCAAGGTCCCCCATTAACTTCACATGCTCAGCACACACCAAGATCCACTAGCTAATTAAGATAGCCAACACGTACGTACATCTAGGCCTGGTTTAGTTTCCCAAAAATTTTTCCAAAAAACATCACATTAAATTTTTGGACACATGTATAGAGTATTAAATATAGGTTAAAAAACTAATTGCATAGTTAGGGAGGAAATCGCGAGATGAATCTTTTAAGCCTAATTAATCCATGATTAGCCATAAGTGCTACAATAACCCGCATGTGCTAATAACGGATTAATTAGGTTCAAAAGATTCGTCTCGCAATTCTCGCGGTTTACAGGCGAGTTATGAAATTAGTTTTTTCATTTCGGGCCGTTTCGGCGAGTACACAGTAGAAGCACTGTAGGAGTAAAAAGGTCACATGCCTGCACACGCCGAGCAAACGTCACACGACTATATATCACAGTATCACAGCGATTGTGCCAACGTACCATTTGGCTTAGGCAGACTTATTCCAAGTCTCTGTCACATTGGATGTTTGGACACTAATTTAGAGTATTAAACATACACTAATTACAAAACCCATTCCATAACCTTGGACTAATTCGCGAGACGAATCTTTTGAGTCTAATTACGCCATGATTTTGACAATGTGATGCTACAGTAAACTTTTGATAATTATGGATTAATTAGGCTTAAAAAATTCGTCTCGCGGATTAGCTCTCATTTATGAAATTAGTTTTTTTGGTTTAATACTCTAAATTAGCGTCCAAACATCCGATGTGACATAGGCTAAAAAGTTTTAGCCCCATCTAAACACCCCCTTAAGCTCCTATATATACATCATATCAATCAGGGCATCAGGCCCCCTACATGGCCCTTTTTCATCGTACGTCTATCGGTCTACAGTATATGTTCCTGGTACAAGAATCAAATCACACCATGAGTTGAGTGAGTAATTAATGAGTGGTCGAATCAGATAATGAAGCTCTTGACTGTGATGGCCACCTTGACAACTTGAGTTATTAGTACCACCAGAATCAATAATGAGTGGGAGTGAGTTCGTCCCCGTACGCATTGCTGGCTTTCTCCATCATCTTCCGCCGAGCGGCCCACAACCCACCAGTTGACACTTGACCGCATCCAGCCCAGCACGGCCTCATTGTTGATTGGACCTAAACATGATTTCAACGGGGGAATATATTCACAATTGGAGTAAGTTCACATATCATCCCTCAACTTTACATCGAGTCTATATAAGGTCCCTTAACTGAAATACCAGGAATGTCTACCCCTTAAATGTTCAAACTATGCAAAATAGGTTACATGATAGTACATATGGGTTGTTTGGATAACGTGGCATCCTAGTCAGAATAAAAAAAATTGTGGGGCCCATATGTCATCCTCACTCCTTTTCTCCTCTCTCTCTCTCTATCCTCTCTCCGTCAAGAGCAGGGCAAGCGGGGTGCGGAGCGACGATGGCGGGCAGCACGCCTTCTTCCGTGGTGAGCTCGAACCGGAGGCGACGTAGCTCCATGAAGGAGCGGATCACCTCCGAGGATAGGTGCGCGCTCGCGCGAACACCGTAGGGAAGGATGGCTCGGCCGACGACGAGGACGACAAACGACGCGGCGGGCGGAGTAGGCCGTCGCCGTAGAGAAGGATGGCTTCTCCTCCGGCTACCTCCACCGTTGCGGCTCCCTCCTCCACCCGCCACATGATACCGCGTTCGCCCATCGCCACTACGCTACCACGCTCGCCCACCACTGCTTTATCCGCCGCCCGCCGCCAGCCTCTCATGCTTGTTGAAGAAGAGCGCCGCCAGCCGCCGGCCTCCCAGGTCCACTTCCGCGCTCGCCCACCGCTGCTCTATCCGCCGCCGCTCCGCCTGCCGCTCGCCGCCCTCCGCCCGCTGACCGCTGCCGCGCTCGCCTGCTGCTGGCCTTGCAGGCCCGCCAGCGCTCAGCCCGCCACCCACATTTGCGCTCACCCGTCGCTGCTCCGCCCATCGCCGGCCTCCTTCATTGAAGAGAAGAGGAGAAGAGAGAAAAAGAAAAGAGAGAAGAAAAAAGATATGTGGATCCCACTTTTTTCATATCACTTACATGTGAGCCCTATATATTTTTATTATTTATTTTGCTGACTAGGATGCCACGTCAGCGAAACCAGAGATCCATACTGCTATAGGACCTAAATTGCACAGTTTTATATAGTTTAGGGGTGAAGATTTTTGGTATTGGAGATTAGGGGCCTCAGACAGACTCGACGTAAAGTGGAGGGACGGCTGGTGAACTTATTCCCTCACAATTTGTCGTTGAGTCTGAAATTCATTCAAGAATCAAAATACCAGGTATAGCTCATTCCCTACTAACACTATCGTGTCAACCTTGTTCTCTCAGCAATATAATGGCTGGTTTTGACTAACGAGGCGAGTGGGCCCCACATGTTAGCGACCAACTCGTTCCCTCTTGCCCCTCTCCCTGGAGCGAGGCGGCCGGCAAGAAGGGGGCTCCAGCGGCGCGCAACAGCGAAGTAGGGGCCACGACAGTCCACAGCTACTAGAGGATGCCCGACAAGAGGGGATATGACGTCAGCTGGGGCCATCGGTGAATGGAGGTGACGACGCGTCGACGATGACCACAAGTATATTGAGCTTGAGCTTGACGACACTGTGTGCGTGTGGAAAGGAACGACAAGGCAAGAGAGGGAAGAGGGAGAGGCGTTGAACTTTGGTTGTTCCCTCTGTGATTTGGCGATGATGTTCGTGAGCAGGAGCACGACGAGGTTTTGATAGGCGATGAGGTGTGTGGGGATCCTGTCGGTGAGGCTGTTGCGAGGGACGTCGAGGACACGGAGGGTGGCGAGTATAGCGAGGGAGCAAGGGATGGACCCCTCATGGACGTTGTGGGATAGGTTGATGAGGCCGAGGGAGCGGCATTGCACGAGCCCTGGAGATTTCGGACGGTGACAACATTGGCGGCGGAGAGGCGGAGGTAGGTGAGTGACTGGCTCCGACATGCAGCGGGGAGAGGCCCTAAGAGGTGGCTGAAGAGGTTGAGGTAGCAAATTGTCGGGGAGGCAAGAAAGACGGCAGGGATGAGCTCGAATAAGTTACTGGATTGGTCGAGGCGGTGAAGGTGCGGGGGCAGGAAGGCCTGGAGGGCGCCAAAGAGGGAGTCCATGGGGAGGTAGATGGCGGCGACCGCGGCGTAGTTGGGGTGACAGGGAACACCACGCCTAAGGTAGTAGTTGGTGGTGGAGGAGGACTAGGTGGTGAGAACAGAGTCGTGGTCGTGGGGGATGACGCCCTTGAGCACGAGAAGGGCAGCGAGGTCGGTGGAGGTGGAGGATGCCGACGAGGTGATGATGATGAGCAGGGCCACGATGTCCGAGGCACGCTTGAGAGTCTGAGAGATGGGGAAGAGAGGGAAGAAGGAGAGGGAGAGGAGGGAGCCAAAACCGGTCACTATACTGTCGAGGGACCAAAGCTAACACTTAGGCATGGTATAGTGAGTGGGAGGATGGGATACACCTGATATTTCGGTTTAGGAACGAATGTTAGACTCGACTATCATCAAGCGGAGCGCGTCCCATTGCAGCGACAGGCCGGAACGAGTTTTCCGGTGTCCGAGCCGCACATCGCGAGGCGAGGAGGAGCCCATGCCATCAGCGGGCGACGTCGTGGGCTGCGCGGAGCCATGGGCCGGTCACCGGGTCTACGCATCCAGTCGCCACCGCGCGCATCTGGCCTGGTCCCGCACCGCACCGAGTCCCGAAGAGATCACCACCACCTCGCGAGGCCAATGTGTCGGTCTCGCCGTGTCGGCATGTTTCGCGCGGCACACGCACCGCGATGGAACCCCACGTCTCCCGAAAGCTCGCGAGACAAAATACTCCTCCAGATCGAACCAGACCACTGCACCCAACACATCTCCCAGATCGGATGCTGCTCCTACCACGTCCGTGCAAACCGTCCATGTGCTCGCCTGAGCCCCAGGCGTGCGACGCAGCGTCGTAGCGCGGTGCAGAGCACGTGACGGCGCAGGGGAGCAGCACGAGTTCACAACGAGGAGTCCCAACATATTAGCATGGTACGCACTGAGGAGTAACAAGCTAGAAAAGCGGCCACCACCAACTACTATTAGTACTAGTAGCAGCATAAAAAACACGACACACGGTGAACAGTAACACAGATATGTCCGAAACACACACAAACTGCTACTACCACGAAAGAATATCTCTAGATCTCTCTTCACCTACGCATTTGCACCGGTACAAACAACACACCACATGGTATGATGGGTAGTCACCGGCACACGAGGGAGAAGAGTTCGTCAGTTGAATAACAGAGAGAGTAGGCTACTACTGAAGGAGTACTCCCAGTACCACTACTGAATACACTGATGATCGATCAAAACCAGCAGGGGTGGCGGCACAGGCCGGAAAGCGCGGGCGAGACAAAGCACCAACGCCGGCAACGCCGCTGCATTGCAATGCCCACCAAACTCCGGCCGGCGCCGTGCGCCCCCACCACCGACGAGACGGAATCCACTGCCCCCTTGTGTGGCTCTAGATGAGATGGAACAGGAATGGTGCGGCGGCGAGGAGGACGGAGGTGGCGGCGGCCAGCTGGGAGCGCGCCGGCGCGGCCTCGTTGTAGTCGGGGTTCATGGCGCCGGCCGACGGGCCATATGCGCCGCCAAACGGTGGGCTCAGGGCGCCTCCCTGAGTGCCGGTGGTCGATCCCGGGGTCGTGATCCCGGTGCCGGCACCAGCACCGGTGCCCATGCCTGCGCCGGTGCCGGTTCCTGTGCCAACGCCTGTGCCGGTGCCTGCGCCGACGCCTGCGCCACCAGTGCCGGTGCCGCCGGTGCCAACTCCAGTGCCAGTGCCGGTGCTGGTTCCGGTTCCCATTCCGGTGCCTACGCCGCTGCACACAAAAAATCAGACGTAGTAGTGAGCAAAGAAAGTAAGAAACCTCCTTTATAAATTCTTGAAGACATTGTGCACTGAAAATTCTGGACATGCTTAGACTGAAGAAAGGTAGTCTGAGTGGAGTGTATATGCAGATACTGATGAGCTGGTGTGTAGGTGCAATGTACTTTGAGATAGGGTAGCGCGGCGGCCGGCAGACCCCGGCAAGCCGCTTTCATCCACAAAAGACGTTGCTTTAAGCTCCGATTAGAAGATCCGTTAAGAATGCCTTTTAATTTCACATGGACAAGAACCATATGCAAAGCAGCAAACCAGCTATGAACTACAAGTAACACTACTTTTGCATGGAAAGATGCAACCTTTTGGTAGTACCGAACATTGTTTCAACTTTCAACTAGTATATTATTCCAGGTTCGGCGCTGCCAACTTGCAAATTTGCAACTCGCAGCATGATACACGGCTCTGAATATACGTATTGGTAGACGCAGAAACAGTATATACTCTTCTAGATCAGTGAGTTCTCGGTAAATTAAACAAATCTAACTGCAGTCAGTACGGCCGTGCGTGCTCACATAAAAGAATCTAGATTGATGCAAAGCATCAGGCCAAAACTGCAGATTGCCTAAGATACTCTCATTTCTTTTCCAGGTCCAAGAACTCACTAACCACAAACATTAACCATAGTCCATTAATCTGAACAAGAACACAAGAAAAAAGGATGTGAAAGAAGGGGAGGTTTTTTGGGGGAATGTACCTAGCGGTGGCCGGGTACTTGCAGGTGCCGGAGCTGGGGTCGGTGTTGGTGAGGGTGGCGACGCCGCCGAAGTCGCAGGTGGCGCCGATGGGGCTGTTCTTCTGGAAGTAGGAGTTGGTGGCGTAGGAGCAGTGCGCGACGATGGTGCTCGGCTGGTAGCACGCGCCGGACTGCATGATCTGGGTGCAGTCGGCGCCGCGCCAGCACGCGTAGTCGATGGCCTTCTGCATCGCCGCCGGGCTCTGGTCGGGCTTGCACACGCAGAACGCCCCATCTGCTCGCCGCCGCCGCCAAACGGGAACACAGGTTAGCTCAAATCGGTAGCTCAAAAGTTCAGAACTGAATGCATGCATGTCTCAAATCTGATTCAAATCTAGCACTAGCTAGCAGAGGCTCGGAGTGAATCTCTCCTCTTCGATGTTTCTACTGTGCACACGAACAAAAGGGGGAAAGAGGCTATGCGCAAGAAATTGCAAGATAAACATTGAGCCATTGCTCCAGGCAAAGATTCCTACGAGCAACTACGTGCACGGTGGTAATAACAAAAATGGGCAAGAAACTCAAGAACAACTGAACAGACACGAGTTCGATTTGCTTGTCCCTTTCTCGCAGAGGATGCAGGTTTTGGGCTGGGGCCTCACGTACCTGAGCCTGTGGACATGGCCAGCAAGAGCAGCAGCAGCAACGGAATCGCCATGGCAGCAGCAGCAGCAGAGAAGAGCTCGAGCTCTCTCTCCCTGCAGCGAGAAGGAGACCGGCCGGTGTGGGGAGTCGGGAAGGAAGGAAGGTGGTGTGAACTGTGAAGTGCAGTGCTGTCAACCTCACCGAGCCTCGGTGTCCTTTTTATCGGCGAGCACAGCCATCAGCCAGCCACACCGACCGACCATGAGACGAGACCCTTTTTTTTCCCTTTCTTTCTTTTATTTTTCTCTCCTCTCTCTGAACACCTCGTCAGCGTGGCAGCGTTTGTGTGTCACAGTGGTGCGTGCGTGACCGTGCAGGAGAGCCCCCCCCCTTGGGCGAGGCGCCGCCGTGTCCGCATGCCAACGGCTTTATTTTTCTTTCTTCTCCCCTTCGCTGCTGTGTTGGGCTACTGCTAGTGCTAGCCAAGCCAAGGCGGTGAGGTGGTGACTCATCGTCCTCTGTCTCAGGGGGAAAGGGGAGAGAGAGACGGTGTGCGCACAATGCGCGCACGGTACAGCGCGCTGTCCAGCTTTGGCGTGGCATGGCATGGGAGACGATGCGGCGCGGCCCAGTGTTGGGGAGGAGATGGCCTTTTGGACAGGAAAAGGAGAGGGGGCTAACGTTCGGATTCTGGGGGACTTTATATTCAGGACTATTTAGCCTGTGTTTATATCCAAACTTTTAATTTTTTTTATCTCATCAACCTGTCGTATACACATAACTTTTCAGTAACATCGTACCAATTTTAACCTAAATTTTCAACTTTGAAAGGAACTAAACACAGCCTTAGATCCATTGGTAAAATTTTTCACCATGTCATATCAAATGTTTGACATATGCATGGAATATTAAATATAAAATAAAAAATAACTAATTACAAAGATTGCGTGTAAATTGCGAGACGAATCTTTTAAGCCTAATTGCTCCATAATTTGATAATATGGTGCTACAGTAAACATTTGCTAGTGATAGATTAATTAGACTTAATAAATTTGTCTCACGGTTTACATGCGAATTTTGTAATTTGTTTTGTTATTAGTCTACGTTTAATACGTCAAATATGTGTTCGTATACTTAAAAAAAATTGGCCAAAGAACTAAACATGGCTTATGTATTCAACATTCGATCGTCTGTTTTATTAGAAAATTTAAAATAATCACATATAAAATATTATTTATATTTTATCATCAAATAATTAAAAATAATAATTACAGGAAGTTAAATGAAAAAGAAAAGTTGTATAAAAACTAAAAAATATTTTTTTAATGAGACGAAGAAGTATATTCTAGAAGTTGTGTATATTCGTGTATCATTCCGACAAAACTTACCCAGTGTCGGATTAAATAACGGATAGGTTCGATCCGGGAGGAAAGGCAAAAGGGATGTGTGTTCTAGAGAGGTGATGATGGAGATGATGGGCCACTAGGAGGTCGGCTACTTAGAGAAAGTTTAATAGTATAGTTCACTGCTAGCTTTTATTTACCTATAGTTAACCTAATAATCAATTTATACAATAGTTGCTTACTATACTATTAATATATGGTCTCATCAGTCATACACACACTGTGTTTTAGAGTCCGTACTGCAGCTGGCTGTAGCCTGTTGCTCTTCTCTCTCATAATTTATCTCACTAAAATATGTTTATAGCTGGCTAATAGTCTGCTACTATACATGCTCTTATATCTTTTATATCTTTTTGACAGTTTTGTTTTACTTAACTCTACTTCAGTGTTCCAGAAGGCAGTATGCTAATGGGTTGAAAATTACATAAACTTCTTTGAAAGAGTTTAAGATTCTGAATTAGTTGGCTGGTAGTAAAAGCATATAAGAATAGAAAAAACTGAACTTTCATATATTCTGATTTATAGTTCGTTTTCTAAATTTTATATCTATATAGATTCCCCCAACAGTCTCTTAGATTAAACGTTCTAGTAGTAACACAGTTTTTAACTATAGCAAACTGTCTCATTTTTTAGAATCGTCTTACGTGCACAATGAAATATTTTACTTCCAAATTTGCATTTTTTTTTACCACACTATATTAGTTAACGTGGCAAGGCAGTACTCCCTCCGTCAAAAAAAAAAAAAAAGACAAACCCTGATTTCCGTGTCCAACGTTTGACCGTCCGTCTTATTTGAAAAAAATATGAAAAAATTTAAAAAGACAAGTTACGCATAAAATATTAATCATGTTTTATCATGTAACAACAATGAAAATACGGATTATAAAAAAATTTCGTATAAGACGGACAGTTAAAATTGGACACACAAACTCGGGGTTTGTCTTTTTTAGGACAGAGGGATGCAGTTGCAGCCCACAACTGTCTCTTTGTACTTGAGAAACTATTCACGCACAACCCAACCAGTTGAACAACGTAATGTTACTATGTCAGAGGGTGTTTAGATCCAGGGTTCTAAAGTTTTAACGTGTCACATCAGATATTATATAGGGTGTTCAAGCACTAATAAAAAAACTAATTACAGAATCTATCAATAAACCGCTCGACGAATTTATTAAGCCTAATTAATCTGTCATTAACAAATGTTTACTGTAACACCACATTGTTAAATCATGGAGCAATTAGGCTTAAAAGATTCATCTCGTAAATTAGTCGCAATCCATGCAATTAGTTATTTTTTAGCCTATATTTAATATTTTAAATAGATGTTTAAACTTTCAATATAACAGGGCGTAAAATTTGGAAGTGCGTCGTAAGAAAAAATCATGCGAGGTGGAGTGGTCTCATGGTGTGGGAGTGTTCTCCAACCATGCCACCTCGGATCACATGGCCAGAATGTCCACTCTGCTTTTAAAATAGTAAGATTTTAGAGTGTGTGGATTTCTTTAAAAACTGTGTGGGTGGTTTTGGAAAGGTGTAAAAGCAGGATTGTAGTTAACTTGAATTTTTAGAATTCCACACACATAATTCCTAAACTTAGTTATTTTGATACTTGAGGTAAAACAATATACAAATCTAGAGAGAGAATGAACACAAACGAAGATCTGCATGAGATTTGAGCCCACGCTACATTCTTGCAAAATTACTATGAATTAGACCATCCCACATGTAATTTTTAGGATTTGTAGAAACCTTTGGTCAAGCCCATCCCGTAGTAAAATCTCAAGTCTAATGAGCAGGAGCTGTTTAGATTGATGTCATTTCTAACTATACTTTTTTTTTGGCAAAGTTGTTAAATGTGCATACATTTAGTTTGTTGCCAAACTTTGGTACTATATAAGAAATTCTGTTAAAATTTTGGTAATGCCAAAATTTGGTAAGGTTTATTTTGGCTATTAATCTTCATCAGAATATTTCTGAGTAATCTTGTGAAAACGTTAGATCTGGGCCTACTCTGCCCAACATGACCCTTTATATTGTGAAGTCCATTCTTAAATGGGCTTCCGTTTGACAACACCCATAAGGCCCCAAAATTCATCCAGGCCGGGAGCAGTGGTGGGCCGGTGGTGGTGGGCCTCCACTCCTCCTGCTCGATTTTTATCGTTGGTGGCCGAATGCTGCTCGTCTCCCATAGCCTGCGTGGTCCAGCTTCCCCTCCCCTCGGGTTTCCGGCGTGCTAGGGCTCGGCCGCGGTGGCGAAGGCGAAAGGGAGCTCGGGGATGGAGGCGGCCGCCGACGAGGAGCAGGAGGGGATCTCCGCCCAGTCGCCGGCCCAGGCGCCGCCCTCCTCCGCCTCGTCCCTTCCCAAGGTCCCGCCCCGCCCTCCCCCCCTTTTGTTTTTTCTTACGAACAAGGGATGCGCATGACTGTTATCTGAGGTTGATGCTTTCTTGTCCTTGTCGTGTGTGCGCTTGTTGGTGTACAGGAGCAATCGCAGGTGGAGCTGGAGCTGCGGGTGCTTCAGGCTCTCGAGTTCTACCCTCCGTCCAAACTGAAAGGTTAAAAATGCTTCGCCGTGTTATTTCCTTTAGCTTCCCATTCTGGTGATATGTTGTTTCGCGTGCTCTGATGTGTATTTAGTTTTTGCTTGATCTTTTGTTTGCTGACATGATGCCTTTTTTTCTTAGAGAAAGAGAGAACAGCTCTATGTGACTATGTGTGAGGTTGGAGGTTGGATCTTCCGTTTTGAAATCGCATTAACACATTTACCGTGGTTAAGAGTGTGCGAGGATACGTGATTAATTAGTTTTGGAATTATAAGCCTGCCACTGTCAGTTTGGATAGTCTTGACAACAGTTGTAATAACACCTAAAAGAGCAAAACAATGAATATGGCATCCTTAGTACTCTATCATTTCTGTTCCTGCACATAACACAATTTGGGTTTACGGCTACAAGTTTTGTACATTTGTACATATGAAGGAATATCTAGTTCGCTCCCGCCCACTGCACCGCACTTACAAATCCCCTTTTTTCTCAATGTTACTGTTCAATGAATTACATAGGTAGGAGTTTATTGTTGATATTCAACTAAGGTAGGTAGAGTGGGTCCCCCCTTCATATAGTGAGAATAATTTGGACCTCTACACCGATTCATGGAAGTATTAATTAAGTGGGTTATGCATAATTTTTGTGGGCCTCGTCCTCTTTTTAGGAAACCATGCCTCGCTTCTATTTTGAAAACCAAAAATTCATGAAGTTGCTTGTTTCGTTGGTTTTGCTGATAAATGCCATAATCAGGTCATCTTTGATCAATTAAGTCGTCTTTGATCAATTAGATTTTGAGTTTACTATAAAATCCTTGTATGGCTAGAAATTGCTAATCAACTACTCCATCCGTCCCAAAATATGGGGACCTTTGTTGCTCGAACTACAAGGGTCCCAATAATTTGGGATAGAGGGAGTATAATCTAATATTAACACATGATTATATTTGAGCTCTACTGCACAGCTAGTTATAGGAGTGCTTATTTAGGTTCTTTAGTAATGATGACCAGTCTGGGAATGAGTAACCTTAAGTGTACCATCAAATACTAAGTTTAATAGAATGCAATGAAGGTTATAAGAGCAAAGCATTTCTGAGTTGAATAGGCTAGAATGTAATACTAAGTCTGCAGCTTGAGTTTTCTGTTTCTTTCATGGGGCTGAGAAATTACGCTCTGCAAGTCAGGTTGCTAATGCACACACTTGATTCAAGCAATTCCATTTATGGCTAATTGTTTTAATGTATCCATGTTGATTATCCGTTTATTGTCACCTCAAATCTCATTAGTATCTGCAAATCTTTGTAGCATTCTATGTAACGAAACTCGATCAGTTGAATGATAAGTAATTTAGGTTACATATTACATAAATTGAATTTCCAGTTTTCCACAATGACTTTTTGTTGTGGCACGTGCATAGCTTCCACACCATTACTGTGGGGTATGGTCCACATTTTAGGAATTTCCTAAATTTAAGAGATCTTATTTCACCAGACGATACTGTAAATTAGGAATAAATCATAAAATGTAAAACAACATGTAGGCTACATAACTTAAAAAAAAAACTCAAAATGTTAATTGAATTGGAGGATGAACCATGGTGTTTAGTGGTCTTGCAGTTATACTGGTCGTTATTATAGTGTTTTCTGGCGGCAAGTGCTTGCTTGTCTTTGATAACCAAATGCAAAGTCATCTCTATGTCATGATGCCCTGTGATATCATATGCATCTCATGTCTTGTGTTTTTTGTGAACTTAGTAGTTCTTTGTTGTATATTTTTGGGCTTTAGTTTGAAGTGATGGCTGGCCTTTATTGGTTTTGGCATTTTTTACTAAAATTGTTTTGTCTTTTGTGAACCTTGCTGCATACAGCTTGATATGTCTTGTGAAGGATGCCTTTTGCTGTTATATGCTAATAAATCTGCTGTACTTTATTTTGTAGGCATTCATCGTCACTTTGTTATCTATGGTCTAATGGAATACTTGAGAAAAAGGTGACTATATGTTCAATTTAATTTCTGTTCTATGAAATCTCTGATCTGAACTGACCATCTTTAAATTCCTTCAGTCTTGATAGACAATTCTCTGCTGATGAAGTTTTACAACTACTGGACCGATTCTTCAACCTAGAAATGCTGGTAATTTGAAATACCAATAATCTCTTTCTCATTTCTATGTCTCTACTAACTATGAATTTGTGTTTTCTATTTACACGGAATTAATTAGATTTCGATCTATGGATAAGTTTACGACTTGTTTATGGAGTCTGGACACACTTTTGATGCGGTCTGAAAAAAATGCAGAAGCCAGAGGACGACGAGAAGGATAACTTCACTCAAGGAGAAGAATTTTCCTTACCTGAAAGTTTCTTTAACAAGGACGAATGATAGCCCAGTAACCCTGCAGCGCAACATCCTTCGTAATTTAACAGAGGGTAAGCACTAGGCACCATACATTGTCGCTCACTTGTCCTGCCAAATTTTGTACTCCCAAAAATATAGCAACCTTCGAATCTGGATAGGTATCTTGTCTGTTACTAGATTAGATTGTTATATATTTTGGGTTGGAGGTAGTAGTAGGCTGTTGGTTTTGACTTACATACTATATGAATTTCCGCATTGCAGGGACTACGAATCTTATGATGTTTCCAATGATTCTCTTGCGTAGACATCTCTTGACGGCACACTTCGAACTGAAAGAACACATTTTGCTCGGCCGTGTCTTTGTGTTAGTGCTTACTGTGACTTGTACAGCTTCTGTTGACTTAGGATATGCAGTCAATGGTACGGGATCTCAGTACCCGTTAACTATCAGTGCCGTTTCTTCGCTCTACTACCATTTAATCCGTTTTTCCGTTGCGATGAGATTTTGATGCTGCGTTGCAATCGTGCCTTTCCGTTGCTGAAAAATGGAGCAACCATCGTACCATGGCTGGGCAGCTTCGGGTGGGTCTAGTGATGAGATGCGAGTCCAGCACGGCACGTAATTCTGCCGGAAAAAAAAAAGGCCAAACCCATTGGAACCCACGGCAGGGCCAGCCGCCGATGAAGTCCACGGATGCCGACCAACCAGTCGATAAACCCCGAGCGGAAACCCAAGGCGGCCCCACCCGTCAGCGAGCGAAACCGCGGCGCCGCGACGTGCTGAGACAGGCCGGAGCACGTGGGGCGCAGCGCACTCTCCCTTTCCCTTCCCCCCTCTCCCCTCCGCTCCCCGATGTGATTTTCCCCGCCGCCGCTGCCGCCGCGCCGATCTGATCCGCAGAAATGCCTCGTCACCACCACCACGACCCGCCTCCGCCTCCGCCCGCCTGCTGCTCCTGCTGCTGCGGCTGCGACGGCGGCTGCTACCCCGCGCCGACCAGCTACTACTACCCCGTGCCGCCCCCGCCCCCGCCCGCGCCAACCTCCGCCTCCGACCACCTCCTCCACGCCATCGCGGCCCATCTCCTCCTCGGCTCCGCGCCCCCGCCCCCGGCCCCGACTCCCCCGCAGCCGCAGACCCAGCCTCCGCCGCCGCCGCCGCCGCCGCCCACCTCCGCGGCGCACCACGCGTACCACTACCAGTACCAGTACCAGTACGAGCAGCCCAAACCCCATCAGTATCCGCAGCCGCAGCAGGCCAACCCGTCGGACCACAGCCACGCCGTGCTCCACTCGCTCCTGCGCCGCGTGGCCGCGCTCGAGTCCACCCTCCCGCGCTGCTTCGCCTCGCCGCCCGTGCCGCCCCCGCTCCACCGGAACCCTCGCCACCGCCCCCGCGCGGCCGCGCACCGGGAGGAGGAGGACGACGAGGAGGAGGAGGACGACGACGAGGATGCACCGGCCTCGCTGCCGCCGCCGCCACGCCGTGCGCGGGCTCCGCCTTCACCAGCGAGGGAGCGGGCGGCGCGGACGATCCAGGCGCACTTCCGCCGCTTCCTGGCGCGGCGGTCCCGCACGCTGCGCCACCTCAAGGAGCTCGCCGTCCTCCGGTCCAAGGCCGCCGCGCTCCGGGGCTCCCTCTCCGGGCGAGGCAGGGTGGGCGACCCCGCCGCCATTTCTGAGGCCGCCATGGCCCTCCTCTTCCATCTCGACTCGATCCAGGTGATGAGAACCCGTACCATGGGCATATTCAATTAGGTAGGCATTCCATTGGAACGGTGTTCTGATCTTGGGTTTTCTGATTAGGGCGGTGACCCGATGATCCGTGAGGGAAAGCGCGCGGTGAGCCGGGAGCTTACCCGGATCTTGGAGTTTGTTGATAAGGTGCTAGTCAAAGAGCATGGGGAGATGGCAATGAATGGCGAATTGGATTGTAAAGACTACCATGAAGGTTGCAATGCCGCATTTGCGGCTAATCCGTCAGCGATGAACAAGAAGAAGGTAGGTTTCTGTGGTAATGGTAAAGTCCAAGAGCTGCATGATGAGGCTGAGCAAGAGCATGGCAGTGATGCTGATGAGAGCTCTGAGACCTCGAGCTCTGCTGAAGCTGAGGCGAGGAAGCGCTCAAACAGTAAGAGGGGTGCTCATGCCAAGCCCGGGCTTGCGGCGCCAATGCCTGTGTACATGGAGCCGAGAAGGATTGACGAGGAGAGGAGATAACCTGTGGTTCGCATCCTGCGATGCAATTTGAGGTTTAGAATTATGTGGATTGTCATGGTGTTGTTACATTCCTACCGTTGTTTTTTCACTGATATTTCCTGAGAAGAGTTTAGAACTTTTCAGATGGTAGAGTTTGTGCTGCAGCTATGATCTTTGGAACTAGGAGCCTTAGCCTGCTGTATGCTCAAATTCCCTGTGTGTTCATTGCCTTTGTTGCTGGGTTATACAATTGCACTGTTAGCTTTAGCATCGATAATTCTAGCTTGGATCATTTTGTGCACTAAAGATACCCTGCTTGATGTCATCATGTGGGATCTTGGATTAATCTGTCAATCATGTCCATTTTGATTAATCGAAATTCCCTGTGCTGCAGTTTGAACTTCAGATGTTATTTCTAGCTGAAGAAGACCACTCTTCAGTACTACTTTGACTGAGTTTGTATCTTTGTTTGGCAGCTAACTCATGAAGAAAATCACACATTAATACTACCTTGACTGAGTTTCTATCTTTGTTCGTTGGATAACTCATGTTGATTACCATTCGGCTGTCTTGGTTGTTTTAAGTTTATTACAACGTGGCTTCTTTAATTGTTTCCCCAGAATTTGAGCCATCCACCAATTTATTTCTTCAGTCAATGTTGTTTTCCCTGTCTTTTGGTATCTGTTTGATGAATGAAGCCATACTTCACATTTCAGATCTTCAAGTGAATTTCATTTGGGGCTTGCTATTGCCTTCTGTTGTTTTGGTTACACCACAAATTTCAGCATACATTACTTGTAAATTAGTGGTTATGGAGGACCTGAAAGAAAATCAATAATGGTTGCTGTGGGCACAAAGTTTACAATGTCCTGGAGCTGTCATATTAATTCAGTACTAACCCAACTGATTGCTCCTCGCTTTTGACTGTCCTGTGGCTGTGATGCCACGGGTGATTGGTGACTGTTCCATCCAGGCCATGCCTATTTTAGCTTGATTTACAGGTCCTGGATTGCTTATTTGCTGTACAGGGTTGGATCACTTTGGCTGGACCGGCAAAAGGAACATGCGTGTTGCCGGGCTAAAGTGTCAGACACCACATATTGTATCAGTTCTAGGCCTTTCCAACAGGCAACTCCAATGGCCGTACTCTGTACAGGTTTGATAGAACAGTGAATTGAAAAGTGCCTGTTACAGTTAGGACGTGTGAATTTTACCTTGTAGTAAAGGTGGTGAACTTTTTATGCGATCTTTAAATACAGAAAAGAAAAAAATGGTGGGAATTAGGTATGGTTTGATATTGTTTTTTGCGGTGGCAATTGCGGAGGATAGGTGGCTCTTTGAAGTTTGAACCGCCGGTGAATCAATAAAAATGGTACTATATTCAATAACAACGCTAATTTTGCTTGCTTGGCTGTTTTAGCTCTGATTCGTTAAGATTAATAACATGTTGTCCTGGAGACACTTGAACGAACGTTTTACATGTTTTCGTACATATTTACACTCATCTCTCGTCAGTTAGAGCAAGTATAATAGTAGGCTATAAACCGGCTAAATGCTGAGATGAAAGAGAGAAGAGAGGAGAGAGAGGAGAAGCGAGCTGTAAACTTACAGCTGGCTTGGACACTAGAACCAAAAAACTCTATGAGAGAGACAAGTAGGCCCTATATTAATTGTAAAGAGTTCACTATTATATGGGTAGGCTAAGAGAATGCTACAAAAGAATCTTATAGTTAACAGGTCGGCTGTATTATTAGCTTTGCTCTTACACAGGGCAAGAACCTAATTTACTCTTTTCTTGATGTTGGTTAGCCTTTCGTAATTAGCTCAGCATAGGGAAGGAGCAAGCAAAATGACCGAAAACCTAACCAAACTGATCCCGGTCTGTGATTCTTACTAAGATAAATAGATACGATCAGTTCGGTCATTACACTCGGTTAACTACTTAATTGAACTGATCGAAATAATAGCTAGAAGCCTATGAAGTATCATGTACGATTGTGATTTATCTGTTTTTTTTTCTCATAAAACTACCAGATGTTTCAGTCATGACTGAAGACTAAACCGAGCTAACCAAAAATCAAATTCCCCGGTCTTAAACTGAATTATTTGCAATGTATTTCAGTCCTCAGTTTCAGCTCACCAAAAGTTAGAGTTTAAGAGATAATTAAAGAAATGTTATTGACAAGCGTCCAAATATAAGAAATGCCATCAACAAGCGTGAGTTCTAAGAAATGTTACCGTACAAACGACTTTGTCTAAAAATGTCATCGTCGTTAGGGTTCTATCCATTCCACGTCGATAAATACATTGTTCATCCTGTAGCACTTAATGGTGCGGTATGGATGGAATCCTAACAACAATGGTATTTTTGGATAAAATCGCTTGTACAATGGTATTTTTTGGAACTCAAACTTGTCGATATTATTTCTTGGATTTGGACGCCTGTCAGTGACATTTTTTGGATTATCTCAAAGTTTAAAGCAAGTGGTGGTGTGTTTTGTTTTCCCTTTTTCTAACAATAACCTTTTCGAGTTGTAGTCTTTGTAATTTTTTCCCGGCATATCGATATGAAACATACTATCTCGTGCTATTCGTTATTTTTTTAAAAAAAGTTTAAAAGAACAAACCAAATCTGCCAAGCGAATGAGCATTCTAAATGGACCTTCAGCTAGCAGCATCAGTGCGGTGATGAACACTGCCATTCTGATGGACCTTTGGCGAGCAGCATCCGTGCGGTGAAAACTGGCCCTCCGTTTAGTTTTCTCCCTGCAGCCTTCACGTAACCGACTGTAGCGAAATATTCTGTCGGCATTGCGTTTCCGCTTTCGCGGTGAACTGGCCCGGACCCGGCTGTGTGTGTCATCCCGGCCCCGGTCGAGTTCCGCGTCCTCACGGCGTCACGGGTGTTGGGTTCCTCCTCTCCGCGTACGTACTAACCCCCGTACACGCGCGCGCACGGGGAAAACTGCCCGTCTCGCTTCGTTTTTTCCACCCGAAATTTAGTTGGGAAATCGGGGATCCCGCGACTCCGCGAGCGACCGAGCCATCACCCCATCAGCCCGCCCATCACCTCAGCACAGCAGCTAGCAGCCGTTGCTTGTTTTTCCAGCTTCCTCATGCACCTCACACCGCTGCCTTTAAAGCCCACCTCCCCCGCGCCGCGCGTCCCCGTCTCATCTCATCATCATCATCGCCCGCGGCCACCAGCCAAGCCATCGCCGCGCGCCGTCGTCTTCTTGAGCTTGGCTTCTTTCTTCCTCTCTCTCTCTCCCCTGACCAAGAAGGGGCGCCGTGGCCATGGGGGGATTGGCGCCGTCCGCGCCGTGGCGGTGGAGCTGGAGCGTCGCCCGCGCCGTCTTCTTGGCGTCGCTGCTCGTCCTCGCCTCCGCGCAGCAGCAGCCGCGCCCGCCGCGGGCCCCGGAGATGTCCGCCGTCGACGTCGACGCGATCCTCGCCAGGGTGTGCGGCGGCGGCTCGTCCAGGCAGGCGGCGCCCGTGCCGCCGCTGCCCCTGTGCCACGAGCTCATGCGCCACCGCGGCGGGGTCAGGCGCCACCACCGCAGGCCGGCGCCGCCGCCGGGACGCGACGAGGAGGTCGACCTGCGCTACGGCGTCGCCAAGCGGCTCGTCCCGACGGGGCCGAACCCGCTGCACAACTGAGGACGCCGGCGACGGCGAGGCGTTGGTCAGTTCTTGCTTTCTTGGACACATCGGCATGCAGCCGGGCTCATCATCCGTCGACGTCGTCCTCTCTTGTTCTTGCTTTCCGGGTGCACTTTCTTGGAGCTCGGAAAGGACTTACAATGGAGGATCGATGCTTACTACATCAGCATGGCAACAATAACATAGATAGAATTGCATGTATAGGCTAGTTCTTCTTCTTCCTCCTCCCAATTCTTGGCAACATCTAGTACCATGTTTCTTGTAGCTTTCTTGGCCTGCATTTCTCAATGCAGAAAAAAAGAAAAAAAATTGGAAGTTCTTTTCTGGCAGCAGTGACGTCTGTATACAATTTGTCATTTCCATAATCCATCTCTTTCTCCCTGTGGCTGATGGGCTGGACATCATCAATGAGAAGCCAAAGGCATATCATCTTCTTTTTTTCATCTCTTTACCCTGTACATGAGAGTAGTTCATGAGGTCATGCGTGTGTATATATCCTGCTCTTTTGCTTCTGATCTGATGATGATCACCCTGTGGTCGGCGTCGCCGTTGGCGTCGCGGCGCCGAGGAGTAAATGGTGCTCTGCCTCATCCTGTGACGGAGAAAAGGTTGGAGAAATTAATGGCGGCTCGTCGTCAGTTTCACCCCTTCGCATTAACTCTCACGGTTTTGACCTGCCTTCGTATTTACTGCTCCAGTTTTTATTTTACAGCCTGCAATCTGAACCCTTCTTCAGTTACAGGGAGTTAACGTACTCCAGTAAAATTTGTCACTGTTGGTCGTTATGTTACCGTTCTTCAGATCTTTTGATGGTAACTGACTTAACTACCTTTGCCTGACAAGGATGTCAGTTCTGACTTCTGAGTTCAGAGTTCAGACAAGTCCAGCGAGCGTGTGCAATGAGCTGTGCTAATTTTGGGGACGTTTTGATGGTTTTGCTCACTAGGAAAGTGGAGTAGGAATCGAGGTTTACACATTCTCAGTCTGAAAAAATACAGTTGTAGTAGTAGTGATCGTGTGCAGCTTTGTACTACTATTTCTTCACAAGTTCAGAATTGATGTGGAGCTAATCATGTTTGTTTAGGGAAAAGAACATGTATAAGTCACAATTAGTAGTGCAAAGGCATGTAAAATACAGTGATAAGTGATTGTGTGCAGCTTTGAACTACTATTTCTTCACATTTTCAGAGTTGATGTGGATCTAACTATGTGTCTTTAAGAAAAAATCATGTACAAGTCGCTGTTAGTAGTGCAAAAGCGTGTACTATCTGAGGAAAGTGATGGAGTGGGCACTTAGATCAGAAGTTGTATAACGCGTTGGTTAGTGGTTATAATGGGGTTAATGTCTGACGCGTGAGGATACAGAAGATGATGTACTTTGGCTTGTGACGGCTCATGGATGCAGACCTTCTGCATTAACTGAACTTGGCTCGATCTGAACAAGGAATTATTACTCCACAGACACCGTGCACAGCATTCTAATCTTGTGCTCTCTAAATGCTAAACTGAACCCCACCACCCCCATTAAAATGACAAACATGAATGCCTCTCTGCTAGCCCGGGCAAGAGAAATTCTCATAGGGCCTTCTCAATCTAACTACAAAAGAGCGTAGTCTGTAATAAAATTGTGGAGGTGAAGCAGGGTCAGGAACAACAAATCTCTTTATAATAAACAGATATATTTTGCAAGCTCACGGGTAGTTCCTACGAAGAATTGAACTAATGACGTATACAATGCTTGAATTATCGACATAGATGCTACATAGTGAGCGATTTAAACCTGCTCCACATCACTAGTTAATTTTTTAATCACTTCAGCAACTTCACTCTTTTTTAGATAGAACTGAAACCGTTAGTTGGACTTTTCTGAAGTTGTAGCCGGAGTCATGCCAAATAGACCAGACCCAGACCCAGTCATAGAGAATCATCAGATGTTCAGCTGAGTTGTAAACATTTTGGCCTCTTCTATAGACTGCAGTAAGGTATATACAATATAATCCTGGATAAAGGCTAACTACATACTTCCTCCATTTCACAATGTAAGTCATTTTAGCATTTTCCACATTCATATTGATGTTAATGAATCTAGATAGATATATATGTCTAGATTCATTAACTTCAATATGAATGTGGGAAATGCTAGAATGACTTAAATTGTGAAATGGAGGGAGTACAGTTTAGTAGTGTTAACCATGTACAGCAGCAACAAGCTCATCTCAACACAAAACTATGAACAACACATCTGCCAGTATCTCTCCGTATCATCGCTTTCTGCCTGAAACTGTCTTCTTGACAGCACCAACTGAAACCAAGAACTCGTCCAGGGATGACAGGGTCTTCATGTCATCAGGGGGGAAGTAGCTCGCCGCCTTGCCCATGAGCGAGGCAAAGAGGAGTGAGAGGCCGGGCGATGCTGGAGATCGCTCGGGGAGGAACTCATCTAGGAAAGCAAAGGCAGCCAAGAAGTCGGACCGGTTCGCGTTAATCGGAGCTGCGAAGTGAGCTGGGATTATCCTCCTGAATGGCCAGTCTGCAGCGATCCTGTCGACCCAGTCTCTCACCTGCAGAGGCAGACGATTTCAAATTTTCAATGGCTTGACATTGGGAGAAATGTATGGGAAGTGTGAAATACCAAAATGCTAGTTCAAAAAATTAAGATTTTTTTTATTTTTTCAAAATAGAAATATCAGAAATACTACTTGGTGGGATCTCAGGTCATTCCACTTCAGCACTTCAATGGTATATAAAACTTGCAAGTCAGCCAGTGCAATTTTTTTAGATAATGAGTCAGACAGTGCATAAATTATGGTAGCACATAGGAAGGATGCCTAAAGCTGCTTCATATTCTAGTCTGGGCATGCAACTTTTCATGATTGACTCATTTACATACACATTGCAGGTTTGCAACTGAAAAAGGAAATGCTTCTGACTAGAGGCAGCTTGTAATGACAAGCTGAAGATATTGACACCCAAAGGATAAAATGTGTGGTCGTAGCGTCCCGTGGAAAACATTCAAGTTGTAATTCTAAGTTTTATGAATCCTATAGATCAAAAGCACAGAAGGTAATGTTCAGCCAGGTTCAGCAGATACTAGTGTATTATAGTTTCCATTCACCACATGAACATACCTTCTCTGGAACTTTGCTGAAAACAAGTGTCTTCACAATTGGGGAGACAATCAACTTCTGAGACATTTGAGCAAAACTTGCGTTTGGCTCCAGAAGATTTGAGGGACCAAGAAACAATATTTGCAGTACCATTCGCTCCCATCCTGTTGTTACACCAACAAGGTTACTGCAATGTTCTAGTATTATCAATTCAATGCGGAAGATATATGACCCTATTCTATGAAAAGAAAACATTATGCTGTAATTTTCATCAGATGCTTATGCTTTGAGCAGAAAATTAAATGTCTGAGGACAGGCAATAATCTTTGGCATTACAGCGAAGACGAAAAAAACTGAATATCAGCATTGAGGATAATACAGAGTAAAGACCTCATAACCGATATGGCGATATAGTAGGCATATGGAGTCCATGGGAATACCTCAAGCCCTTACACTGAAGCTTCACAGAGAATGGAATTGCCAAATGAGCTTCGCAAGGATTTTTTTTAGAATGTCATGCAGCAAACCAAAGAAACAGAAACAAAGCAGTGAACATTACGATTTTGTTTAACAAAGATCGTTATGCACTCCAGACCCAAAAAAGATAAACAGAGGCTGGTGCATACCGATCTAGTGTGCTACAACACTATTTCTGCTAAACCATGAGCACTATATTTCACTAGTTTCAGTCATTTTTGTTTCTTAATGAGCACTACTCTCTTCTTCTTAATGAAAAGCAGGAACTCCCCACCCTTTTCAGAGGTTACATTAAAAATAAAGTGATTCTTGTATATGGCATGGCACTCATAGCCGCAATTAGACAGTACAGATCAAACTCACTACAATCACCTTTCTGACGGTTCAGCTTATTGTCCACAACTGGTTCATCTGGGACCTCTTTTCCTTTGCTCAAAATCTTCACTGCCAAGCCGTTCTTGGCAGATGCCAGCAACGACTCTTTGCTGATACACTCAGGTGGCTGCCGAGGAACAAAAATGACGGCATCCGTCACCAACAATGTCCGCGAAGGCTTGTGGTAGAATGCCACCTCCACATAGGGTCCAATCCCTGAAATCACCAAATTCACACCATTGCACACAGCTATAAAAAAAAATTGCATCCATTTGCTGATGAAATAGAAGCTCGAATTGGTTGGTGACAGTGACGCTACCAACTTCAGGCGAGCTGAGCATCTTCTGCTCGATCTCGCCCGCCCATGGGGTGTCGTCGTCCTCGTCTTGGAGGGGCTTGGCCCGGAAGATCCCGAAGAACTCCAGCGGCAGGTTGATCGGCCAGCTCCACTGCCTGGGCGCCACCCATATCTGCGCCCTGGGGAATTTCCTGGTGAATGGCCCGAAGAAGACCTTGTGCTCGTAGGCGAAGGTCGGCAGCACGATGTGCTCCACCGGCGCGTCGAGCTCCTTGAGAAGCTGCACGGCGGCGACATGAGACGAGGCTGAATCGGAGGAGACGGGGGAGATCGGGGATTGCTTGCCTGGATGCACTCCTTGGTCGGCGCGATGGGGGCGTGCACCCAGAGGCCGCCGGACTTGAGCTTGATGACGGTCATGCGGGTGTTGGTGGAGACGCTGCTGAACCCCAGTGCCTGCTCCTGCTCGAACAGCCATATCCTCCCCTTCACCGCCTGCTTCGTTCGACGCCATTAGACACGCGCCGCCGCCGCCGCCGGAGAGCAGAAGGATTCAGGCGGGGTTAATTACCTCGGTGCGGATGGTGCGGCGGTTGAGGAACGGCCCGAGCGGGAAGGGGAACCCGGTGAAGTTGAAGTAGAACCGCTCGGCACCGCCGCGTTCGCTCGTCGTCTCGGTGGTGCCGGTGGTGGTGGAGGACGCCGAGACGGCGAGGCGCGGCCGCGTCGCCGCGCGGTGTGAGTATGACGACGGCACGGCTATCCCCCGGCGCGGCCGCAGCGGCTGCGGCGGCGCGGTGGATGCCACGGCGGCGGCGGACGCGGCCATTGTCGCTAGCTGGCTAGGCGCGTAGGCCAACCAACTCGGAGGAGTTCGCGGCTGGGAAAATTGGGGGAGATGTGGTGGTGCTCTGGGATTTGGACGTGGGGTACGACGGATGGCTGGATGGGATGACACGTCGCCGTGGTGAGTGGCTGAGAGACGCTGCGGTCCACGGATTGTTCTACAGCCTTGGGAGTTGCGCTCTAGGGCCTCGGCGGCGTCTCGGTCGGAAGCCTGGCCTGCCCGTCTCCCGATCGCATTCCACCGGAAATCCAAACTAACTAACTAACGAATGCGCGTGAGCGCGTCCATCGCGCGCGTGAACGTTTTCAGACCACGTCGCGACCAGCTGTGGGATTAGGTTCAAGGTTTAGGATTCCGGATGTGAATGAGGAGACAAACCCGTTAGTTTTCACTGCAAAAACTGAATAAAATTTTGGATATTCGTATCACGCTTTTCAAAATACTAAACAGTACGTTTCGTGCGAAAACTCTATATATGAAAGTTGCTCTAAAATATCAGATTAATTTATTTTTTAAGTTTGTAATAATTAAAACTCAATTAATTATACGTTAATACCACCACGTTCTACATAAAACAGTTAATCTTCATCGTTATCTTTATCTTTATCTTCAGGAGAAAAAAACACCACATGGAGAATTGGGCTTAGAGAAATGGTCTGGAAGGCGGAGGAGGGGTGGTTGGCGAGACTACACCGTGATCGCAAGAGACGCGCGGTTGATAGCAAGTGGTGAGCTGGTGCTGGGACTGGGACAAAACTAGACGGGCCACGCTGACAGGTTTATGCCTTTCGGCGCCGACGAGGGCGAACGGCAACATGGAGGAGGGTAGTGGTGAAGAAAAGAGCTGACCTGGTTGCTGGATCGATATTGTCGGAGGAAACTCGTCGAAGGGAGTCCATCCCTGTCGCATAGGTCAAGTTTAGGATAGTTTTAGTAAGTGCGCATGTAGTTTCTACTATAATCTCTAGTTTCTTAGGCTGCGTTCGGATCGGATTGATCTTGACTTGGCTACTTCGTTACTAAACAATGTGTTTCTTAAAAAACTTTATATATAGAATTATTTCTAAAATTGATCTCAACTATGCTACTTCGTTACTAAACAATGTGTTTCTTAAAAAACTTTATATGTAGAATTTTTGTAAAATCAAATAAATATAGTTTTCAAGATTATAATAGTTTATTATTTATATCCAAATGATCCGTCATGTTTCACGTACCAGAATAAGCTCATCAACAATATCTGTTTTGGACGAATCTAAGGGTTTGTTCAGGAGGGCTGGTTCCTGGCTCCCTCCACTTCGTTTTTCGCGCGCACGCTTTCCAAACTACTAAACGATGCATTTTTTTGTAAAAAGTTTCTATACGAAAGTTGCTTAAAAATCATATTGTTCCATTTTTGAAAAAAAAAGCTAACACTTAATTAATCACGTGCTAACTGACCGCTCTGTTTTCCGTGTGCACTGTGCTAGTTAGGATCTAGCTCCAGCGAACACACCCTAAATAATTTTAGCTACAAAATTTAGAAAAATAAACTACTCCAATAACCAAAGCTCTGACGTCCATTTTTTTTCATATGTTCCCCAGTTGTTTTCTCATATTTTTAGCTCCCTATACAAAGCCGTAAGATCCTCTGTAGTATAAAGTTGTGTTTAGTTTCTAAAATTGAGGAGAAGTTTGGAAAAAGTTGGTACTTTGAAAAAAAAGTTAGGAGTTTACGTGAATAGGAAAGTTTTGGATGTGATGTGATGTGATTTGAAAAGTTGGGAGTTTAAAGCAAGTTTGGTGTGATCTAAACAGGGTCTGAGTATCACTGGGACAGTGAGAGGTACTGGGACGATCCTGAATTCCTGATGTTGCCACAGCGTGTAGCCATGCAAAAGTCGGACGCGCCCAAACTTCGACAGGTGCACACATCGGCTCATCCCAGAAGGTCAAACTTAACGTACGGATCATTGGATAGATAATTGGAGTAGGTTGGTTCTATGATCGATCGACCACTTGGTTGGAGACAGATGCCTTGCAACGATTTATAATTTTCAAATAGTACATACTCCCCCGTTCAAAAAAACCAATATAAAAGAAAATTTGACCTCACATAGTACAACAAATTTAAATAGAGGTTTGTCTAGATTTATTATACTATAGGAGGTTATATTTCTTTTTAGGTTAATTTTTCTTTTGATGAAGTATAAACTACTACTAGAAATCAAGAAATACACACCAAACTTGCTGGGATAATACAGCACATGCATATGCTGATATGCATGGAAAGTAACGTGCAGATGTCAAACTGGCTGCTTAGTTCCAAATCGTGACAAATCTAGTAATCACAAGGAAAGGATATGTACATATACTACACATCACACCGAAAGCGACACAATTACACACAAAAAAAGCTGTAAATAATTCGTGTTCACGATTCACGAACCATGAAAAGACAGCAAGCCTAAGCTTAGGTAAAGCTACTACACGACGACGACACGCGACGCGTGCGTGCTACTGTTGCTGCACGCGCCGCCGGAGGCCGTCACTCGCGTCGGTCAGGTCAGCCGCGCACCACGCCGACGCCGACGCCCGGTCCCATCCTCATGGCGCCGGCGCCGGCGCCGAACCCGACGCCGGCGCGCCCGGCGCCGACCGCGACGCTGCGGCTCCGCCGCACGTGCGGCGGCGCCGCCACGGGGCCGAGGCGCGCGTCTTCGGCGCCGAACTCGCACGGCGCGTCCTCGTCGATCCTCCCGACCGCCACGCTGCGGCTCCTCACCGGCACGGACGTCGCCGCCGACGCCGACGACGCCGCCTGCCGCTGGGACAGCGCGCGGACGAGCGCCCCGACGTCGTCGTCGTCGCCGCCGCCGTCAACGCCACCGCGCCGCGACCGCGAGCTGAACGTCGCCGCCTGCATCGCCCCCGGCGCGAACCCGCCCCGCCCCATGGCGCCCGCCGCGTGCGTCGGCATGTGCCCCGCGCACGCCGACATCTTCCGCACGTACGAGTCGCACGCCCTCGACAGCGCCCGCACCGGCGCCCCCAGCCACCTCCCCAGCTTGCTCCCTGCCCCTGCCTCCTTCTTCATCTCCCACTCCTCCTCTTCCTCTTCCTCTTCCTCTTCCTCTTCCTCCTCCTCCTCCTCCTCTCCGACGACGGCTGCGGAGGCGGCGATCGAAGTAGACAAGCAAAACGAGGTGACGATGATTGATCAATCCAATACCGATTGAATTGCCAATCGCTTTACGGGTGCCGGTTTATATTAAACCGGACGCGGCTGGACCGATCGAACGATCGGTTCGCGGAAGGTGTGGCTGCTTGCTTTGAACCAGTAGCGCGCTGCGCCTGCGCGCACACACCAACTCATCATTTTGTAAGGGAAATACCGACACACACAAACCAGTACAAGGTCAATGGAAACCGGGAAGGAAAAATTCAGCGACCGTGAAGCGAATTATATTGTTGCAGCCAATGGGCATACTCGCTGAGGCAGAATTCGTCAAAGTCGCACGCAGTTTTGCTGGTAGAGATGCACGTCTCGGATTGGGGGCAACTTGCTATTCGTGTAGTGGTAGTAGTAGGAGTGTTAGGGCATGTACAACCCACATACAGGGGTGTGTCTTCAAGAACCTCGAAGTTATCATCCAGACGGATATAAAGACAGCTCATACAACCCACAGACAGAGGGTCTGTCTGTAAGCTATTTAATGCTTTGCATGTAGCTTTGATAAACTACAAATGCATTTGTGTATACCATTGTGTGGCTATATATTTGATATAATACTATCAAGCATGAATAAGATACACGATTACAATATTTTTTAGGAACCATAAATATAATAATTATATTACAATGCCTTTAGTCTAATTTTCTTTGTTTCCATAGCGTTGCCATATGTGCTCGATTAGATCCTTTTTTAGCTTCCTATGTGTTGGCCGAGCTTTGATAGCGGAATTTCTACGAAGTACCTCTGTGAAGCATGGATCTGGTGTAACGCCCCGATTTTCGTTCGGGTTTAAAAATCAATTAATAATACATTTTCTAGAAATTAAATAAAAGTTAAATCAATTTATCCAAGTGAAATGTTGGGAGAATTAAAATTTTCCCTTAAAAATCATTGGCCGGGAATATTTTGTAATATTCTTTGTGCCCTAATGTACTCTCCGGAATTTTCCGTGAATTTTCGGAGCTCGAGAAATAGTTTTAATAGCACAAAGGTCATTGCATCAATTTAAATAAAAAGAAAACAAAATAAACTTCCCCTTCCTCCCTTTCGGGCTCGGCCCAAAATCCTCTCTCCTTCCCCTCCCGCGGCCCGGCTTGCCTCCCCTTTTTGGCGCAAGTCTGCTTTTCCTCCCTCCCGGCCTCCCCTCTCACTCAGGCCGACAGGTGGGACCCGTGGACCCCACCTGTCATCCCCAACCTCCGGCCAGCTCCAACCGCCGCCCACGCCGCCCACTCCCTCCGCCGATCCCGCACCTCCCCTCGTCCCAACCGGCGTGGACCCGAGACCCCTTCCACCTCGCGACCACATCCCGCCCCACTCCCCCTCTCTCCCCGCGGGAATCAACGCCACGCCGAGCCGCCACACCCCCACGACGCCGCCCCACTTCCCCTCGAAATCCGCCGCTCCCCGGCCCTCTCCTCGCCCCCTTGAGCTATCAAATCAATCCCCGTGGACTCCTCTTCCTTTTTCCCCGTTTTCCCGAGTCCCCCACGCCCTCTACCGAGCTCTCCACGCCGATCCCCTTCGCCGCCGCTCGCCGGCGATCTCCAGCCGCCCGCCACCGCCGCTCCCGTCGCTGCCGCGCTGCGCCGCCACCACCTATAGCATCACACCACCCCACCGCACCCCGGCATCCACTCCATCTCCCTCCTCCACCGCCGGAACCACCTTCCCATCGCGAGGCCGAGCCACTACCGCCACACACCGCCTTCAGCCGGCCGCTGCCGCTGCGTTAGTCGTCGCCGCACCTCGCCGCTTGCGCCGTCGGCAACGCCGTGCCAAGCTCTACCCCGGCCTCCGCTCCGTTTCCCCATTCCACCACCGCAACCACCCTTCCACCGTGCATCCCGAGCCACCTCCACCATACGCCGCCTCCAGCCGTGTGCCACCGTCGCCTTAGCCGCCGCCGCGTCGCTCCGTCTTCACCTCTCGCCTCGCAGCGCCGTGCAGCACCTCGGTCACCGTTGTTCATCGCCGGAAACCCACCGGAACGTGGTACCTCTCGGTCGCCGGTGAGCCCCACCATTCCTCTCCTCTCTGGCGTGGTATTCTCGCCGCTCCGGTCGCCTATTTCCCTCCCTAACCGCTCCAATAATTTCCCTAGGTCTTGCCGGCCCTCGGCCGCGGCTCCGCCATGGTCGGGCGTCGTCGGACCGCCGTTCCCGTCGCCTCCCGTGTCGGCCGCCGCCATCCTTTCCGCCGCCGGTCGCCTCCCCATGGTCGTCCCGTCGCCGGCGCTCCTCGGTGAGGACCCCCTTCATCTCCTTTCCCTTTCCCCTCTTTTCGTCGCCTCCCGTGCGTGCCGTCGCGCCGGTGGTCGTCGCCGGCGACCATCGGGCCGTGCGCCGTCGCTCCCGGCCGGCCGACCGGTGAGCTGGCTCCCGCTCGCCCGTGGCCGCCCGATCCTCCTTCGGGGCGATCTGGGCCGTCCACGTGGCCTTCCCGTGCCGCCCGCGTCGGTGCCTCTGTGGCGCCACGTCGGCGCCACCTCCGCTAGCCGTCCGTCGTGGCCGCCACGTGTCTGCCACGTGGTGCGCCCGCGGACCAGCGCATGCGTGGACTCGGTCCACGGTGCGCCCGCCACCCGTGAGTCACCGTCAGGTGGGGCCCGCTTGCCGGCGCCACCTCTCCCCCGTCGGATGACGTCATAATTGATTTAAATTGCGCAATAAATCGGTAATAATTCTAGAAATTCATTAAAATGGCTCAAAACCTTCTAAAATTCATATCTAATTCATTCGAACTCCGAATTGAGCCATTCAACTTGCAAAATTCATCTAAAATTGAGCTCTACATGTTTGTTTACTTTTTATGTACTGTTTTCTTGGTGTTTATTAGAGTTTTTCCTCGTTTTGCGTGCCAGCGTGTAGTTTCCGTCGTTTCGGAAGTCCGCGGTCGCGAGGAAAAGAGTTCAGAAGATCAAAGTGAAGAAGCAAGGCAAGTCACACATTCTCCTTGAGCATGTTGATCCCAATTTATAAATGTTTTACCGTTTACAAATAAATATGCATGTTTTGCTAATTACATGGGATCAGGGTTTTCCTATCTGCTCGCTTGCGCCATGTTTACTTGATATCTGTTCTTTGTCAACCTTGGGTAATAAATTGACTAGCTTGTGTTACTTATGTGACCTAGCTAGAACTATATGCTTAGCCATGCTTAATTACCACTAGCTCAGTCGATGGGATAATTGCAGTATTAGACATTCTAGTATCTTGTTGAGCTGCGTGCTCGAGACATCTGGCCATGTTTTATGGTCGTAATTATCCAACTAAAATGCGACTGAATGGTGGGCTGTGGATGCATGGTTTTGCGAGTCGCACCCATAGCAATTAAGGACCGGTTCACGGGAAACCCTGGAAGACTTACAGCGCTTGCCACAAGCGGGAATGGGTAACTGCTTGATCTGAAGTATAGCTCGACCCTTTCCTAGGCACCGGTGGCGAGGGTGGGCGTGATGGAGTTGGGTCGGCCGGGGTGTCCGGTTGTCCAGCTGCCGGATTCACCGCGGCGCAAGAGGGGACCGCCCACTGCCTTTTGAGGGGTGGGGGTGAAACCTTAGCGTGGTGTGGATGGTTAGGGGAGGGTTATGCGAAGGGTCTCGTCACAATCACTCGACATGGTGACGTGTGCATCATGGGCACATGATGACGCGGTGACATGTCGGTGGGTTGTGTCTTGTGGGTACAGTTGTGCACCTCTGGCCAGAGTAAAACTATTCGAATAGCCGTGCCCGCGGTTATGGGCGATCGACCAGATTCACCGTGATTAGTCTCACACCTAATAAATCGACCCAATGCACTGTAGTACAGGTGGGTTGGTTGGGCCTGTTCAACGTGGTGTAGCGTTGATCAGTGGAGATTTAATATTACTTTAATTACTCAACAGTTTTACTGTTTTGCTCAATAAAATGTTTTACAACCGCCTTTATGCAAATAGCCACAAACCGTCCTTGTGTTCCCCCTTGCACGTCTGCATCGTTGGTGTGGCTTGCTGAGTACGGTGGTTGTACTCAGCCTTGCTATTATTCCCCCTTTTCAGAAGTGTAGTGCTTCTGAGCTGAAGATGGAGTTAGAGGACCAAGGCTCAGACCCCAGTTGAGTTTTGCCTGTGGAGTGGAGCTGAAGCCCCGCTAGGATCGCCTTTTTCCGCTGCTGCTGCTTTTGTTTCGGTGTGAGGACTAAGTGCCTCTTCTGTAAGTATTTTACGCTTTATTTACGTTTGGAACTGTTTATTACTTGTCGTTTTGTGTACCCTGGCTGGTCCTGGACAGGGATTTAATACACAAAATAGTCTGGAAATTTGGGCTAAATTTCTGGGCGTGACAAAGTGGTATCAGAGCCAACTTGACTGTAGGTTGAGCCAAATGGTCAAACCGTAAGGACAAGTTTTCTGAAAACCCTACTTGCAAATTGTCTCCTCTCGCCCTTCGGCATTTCTTTGTGAAACGGTTTTTCAAAATTCTCCTCCCAATCTCTCCAATTCTTTTAGTTGTCAAACCTAGAGGACCAGCTGTCAGCTTCATGTCTGTTCGGAAGTCAAGTCAATTCGAGCCTCAAGCTTCGTGCAAGGAGCGAGAAGATCAGTTCAGAGTCGTCGTTCTGCGAAGATCAAGTGGAGTTTTCCCGAAGTTGACCTAAACCCAATCTTTCCCAGAAGAGTAGTTCCGTTAGCTTTCTAGATCGTGTGTTGTTTGCTTGTGTGTAGGGGTATGGTTTGCATCATTGGTGGGGATGCGACCATACTAGGTTGTTTGCTTAAGCAACTTGAACAATAAAAGTCTACTCACAACATAACAGTAGGCAAGTGGTTTAGTACCTTATCTTTAGCAACCCCTCTCTTCCACCTCTCTTCCGTCCTGGCAGCGGATGGTCAGTGTCAGAGATAAGATCAATTAAAGTCACCAATCAATGGTTCAGTTGAAAGCTACAAGGTATCCCAGTGCCAGAAGAACCCTGCTCGTGATCAACATTTGGTGTCCAAGATTAGATGATGGATGTATTGATGCGGGAGATGCAAAGCTCGATGCAAGGTCAAGTGTAGCGGAAAGAACTCCAGCAGTAGTGTGTTGCAGTCAAGAGTCAGTGTGTCCATGAGCTAAATGAGAGTCACTTTTATGTGGAATTTCCTATCATCAACTAAGGGTTAAGTTCCAAATCTTGTCGGGGTGAAAGTGCATCGCCATTGCTTCAATTTGATGGACCGATGAAGTTTTCAGTTTTCAAAGTCAGGGCTCTTTGTAAATCAGAGAAGTGTTGGCTATATTTGAAGGACAACAGTTCAACTGATCCCAGCCACGCGGAAGTAAGACTACTCCCTGTAAGGGGGTAGGTCTCGGAGAAGAGTTTTGCCTCACTTCGTCGCTGTTTTAGTTGAAGGTTCAACCAGTGCCGCAATCAGGGTAGCACTTGAAGAAGCAAGTTGCAAGGTATCAGAAGAATTAAGCCGATCCCCGGGCAACCGATTGAATTCTAAGGTACACCCATGAGGCCAGTTCAACCGCTTAGCTTAGACAGGTCAAGCAGGTTTCCTGGATTTACTTGTCATTTGAGTTGGGACCAGTCCAAGCGGACATAGGGTAAATGATTTACAAATGCCAGATTCAATTTTCATCCTCTTATAGCCAGCGTGGTGAATTCTCAGGTTACCAAAATTGCCAACCTCAACAGTTCAGTCCAAGATAAGTAAGTTTCAGGAGTATCCGCAGTTCTGGCCTAGGTCAGTTCAAGCAGAACCAGTCGGTCCAGTTTTGGCAAAGCAAAGGAACAGAAAGGTCGAATCCAGCCAGTGCAATCGTGCAGGTTTGATCAACCAGTCAATCAATCAGTTCGAAGCAGAATGTGGCAGTTCAATGTGCAGATCAGTCAGACCGCCCACCAGCACCGGCTTTCTTTCTAGCCATCCCAGAATCTCGGGACGAGATTCCTGTAAGGGGGGTAGATTTGTAACGCCCCGATTTTCGTTCGGGTTTAAAAATCAATTAATAATACATTTTCTAGAAATTAAATAAAAGTTAAATCAATTTATCCAAGTGAAATGTTGGGAGAATTAAAATTTTCCCTTAAAAATCATTGGCCGGGAATATTTTGTAATATTCTTTGTGCCCTAATGTACTCTCCGGAATTTTCCGTGAATTTTCGGAGCTCGAGAAATAGTTTTAATAGCACAAAGGTCATTGCATCAATTTAAATAAAAAGAAAACAAAATAAACTTCCCCTTCCTCCCTTTCGGGCTCGGCCCAAAATCCTCTCTCCTTCCCCTCCCGCGGCCCGGCTTGCCTCCCCTTTTTGGCGCAAGTCTGCTTTTCCTCCCTCCCGGCCTCCCCTCTCACTCAGGCCGACAGGTGGGACCCGTGGACCCCACCTGTCATCCCCAACCTCCGGCCAGCTCCAACCGCCGCCCACGCCGCCCACTCCCTCCGCCGATCCCGCACCTCCCCTCGTCCCAACCGGCGTGGACCCGAGACCCCTTCCACCTCGCGACCACATCCCGCCCCACTCCCCCTCTCTCCCCGCGGGAATCAACGCCACGCCGAGCCGCCACACCCCCACGACGCCGCCCCACTTCCCCTCGAAATCCGCCGCTCCCCGGCCCTCTCCTCGCCCCCTTGAGCTATCAAATCAATCCCCGTGGACTCCTCTTCCTTTTTCCCCGTTTTCCCGAGTCCCCCACGCCCTCTACCGAGCTCTCCACGCCGATCCCCTTCGCCGCCGCTCGCCGGCGATCTCCAGCCGCCCGCCACCGCCGCTCCCGTCGCTGCCGCGCTGCGCCGCCACCACCTATAGCATCACACCACCCCACCGCACCCCGGCATCCACTCCATCTCCCTCCTCCACCGCCGGAACCACCTTCCCATCGCGAGGCCGAGCCACTACCGCCACACACCGCCTTCAGCCGGCCGCTGCCGCTGCGTTAGTCGTCGCCGCACCTCGCCGCTTGCGCCGTCGGCAACGCCGTGCCAAGCTCTACCCCGGCCTCCGCTCCGTTTCCCCATTCCACCACCGCAACCACCCTTCCACCGTGCATCCCGAGCCACCTCCACCATACGCCGCCTCCAGCCGTGTGCCACCGTCGCCTTAGCCGCCGCCGCGTCGCTCCGTCTTCACCTCTCGCCTCGCAGCGCCGTGCAGCACCTCGGTCACCGTTGTTCATCGCCGGAAACCCACCGGAACGTGGTACCTCTCGGTCGCCGGTGAGCCCCACCATTCCTCTCCTCTCTGGCGTGGTATTCTCGCCGCTCCGGTCGCCTATTTCCCTCCCTAACCGCTCCAATAATTTCCCTAGGTCTTGCCGGCCCTCGGCCGCGGCTCCGCCATGGTCGGGCGTCGTCGGACCGCCGTTCCCGTCGCCTCCCGTGTCGGCCGCCGCCATCCTTTCCGCCGCCGGTCGCCTCCCCATGGTCGTCCCGTCGCCGGCGCTCCTCGGTGAGGACCCCCTTCATCTCCTTTCCCTTTCCCCTCTTTTCGTCGCCTCCCGTGCGTGCCGTCGCGCCGGTGGTCGTCGCCGGCGACCATCGGGCCGTGCGCCGTCGCTCCCGGCCGGCCGACCGGTGAGCTGGCTCCCGCTCGCCCGTGGCCGCCCGATCCTCCTTCGGGGCGATCTGGGCCGTCCACGTGGCCTTCCCGTGCCGCCCGCGTCGGTGCCTCTGTGGCGCCACGTCGGCGCCACCTCCGCTAGCCGTCCGTCGTGGCCGCCACGTGTCTGCCACGTGGTGCGCCCGCGGACCAGCGCATGCGTGGACTCGGTCCACGGTGCGCCCGCCACCCGTGAGTCACCGTCAGGTGGGGCCCGCTTGCCGGCGCCACCTCTCCCCCGTCGGATGACGTCATAATTGATTTAAATTGCGCAATAAATCGGTAATAATTCTAGAAATTCATTAAAATGGCTCAAAACCTTCTAAAATTCATATCTAATTCATTCGAACTCCGAATTGAGCCATTCAACTTGCAAAATTCATCTAAAATTGAGCTCTACATGTTTGTTTACTTTTTATGTACTGTTTTCTTGGTGTTTATTAGAGTTTTTCCTCGTTTTGCGTGCCAGCGTGTAGTTTCCGTCGTTTCGGAAGTCCGCGGTCGCGAGGAAAAGAGTTCAGAAGATCAAAGTGAAGAAGCAAGGCAAGTCACACATTCTCCTTGAGCATGTTGATCCCAATTTATAAATGTTTTACCGTTTACAAATAAATATGCATGTTTTGCTAATTACATGGGATCAGGGTTTTCCTATCTGCTCGCTTGCGCCATGTTTACTTGATATCTGTTCTTTGTCAACCTTGGGTAATAAATTGACTAGCTTGTGTTACTTATGTGACCTAGCTAGAACTATATGCTTAGCCATGCTTAATTACCACTAGCTCAGTCGATGGGATAATTGCAGTATTAGACATTCTAGTATCTTGTTGAGCTGCGTGCTCGAGACATCTGGCCATGTTTTATGGTCGTAATTATCCAACTAAAATGCGACTGAATGGTGGGCTGTGGATGCATGGTTTTGCGAGTCGCACCCATAGCAATTAAGGACCGGTTCACGGGAAACCCTGGAAGACTTACAGCGCTTGCCACAAGCGGGAATGGGTAACTGCTTGATCTGAAGTATAGCTCGACCCTTTCCTAGGCACCGGTGGCGAGGGTGGGCGTGATGGAGTTGGGTCGGCCGGGGTGTCCGGTTGTCCAGCTGCCGGATTCACCGCGGCGCAAGAGGGGACCGCCCACTGCCTTTTGAGGGGTGGGGGTGAAACCTTAGCGTGGTGTGGATGGTTAGGGGAGGGTTATGCGAAGGGTCTCGTCACAATCACTCGACATGGTGACGTGTGCATCATGGGCACATGATGACGCGGTGACATGTCGGTGGGTTGTGTCTTGTGGGTACAGTTGTGCACCTCTGGCCAGAGTAAAACTATTCGAATAGCCGTGCCCGCGGTTATGGGCGATCGACCAGATTCACCGTGATTAGTCTCACACCTAATAAATCGACCCAATGCACTGTAGTACAGGTGGGTTGGTTGGGCCTGTTCAACGTGGTGTAGCGTTGATCAGTGGAGATTTAATATTACTTTAATTACTCAACAGTTTTACTGTTTTGCTCAATAAAATGTTTTACAACCGCCTTTATGCAAATAGCCACAAACCGTCCTTGTGTTCCCCCTTGCACGTCTGCATCGTTGGTGTGGCTTGCTGAGTACGGTGGTTGTACTCAGCCTTGCTATTATTCCCCCTTTTCAGAAGTGTAGTGCTTCTGAGCTGAAGATGGAGTTAGAGGACCAAGGCTCAGACCCCAGTTGAGTTTTGCCTGTGGAGTGGAGCTGAAGCCCCGCTAGGATCGCCTTTTTCCGCTGCTGCTGCTTTTGTTTCGGTGTGAGGACTAAGTGCCTCTTCTGTAAGTATTTTACGCTTTATTTACGTTTGGAACTGTTTATTACTTGTCGTTTTGTGTACCCTGGCTGGTCCTGGACAGGGATTTAATACACAAAATAGTCTGGAAATTTGGGCTAAATTTCTGGGCGTGACATCTGGGTTGTCGCTTCTTTGCACTTCAGGCGGGAGCACTATCGTTGCACTTGGATTATAATTCAAATCCAAGACATCTCTAATTGCTTCCTTCTCATCTTCCACTATCATATTGTGAAGGATAACACAAGCTTGCATTATGTTGATAACGTCCCCCTGCTTCCATAACCTTGCTGGTCGACGAATAATATCAAAGCGTGATTGCAGCACACCAAATGCGCACTCGACATCTTTCCTCGCCCCTTCTTGCTTTAATGCAAATAATTTGTCTTCCGCCAACTGAGGGGCCGTCACTGTCTTCACGAATACTGCCCATTCTGGATATATTCTATCGGCAAGATAGTAACCCATGTCATATTGTGTTCCGTTTACGTTGTAGTGTACCGTTGGAGCTTCCCCTTTTATTGCTTGAATAAATAGTGGCGACTTGTTTAGAACGTTTATGTCATTCTGAGACCCGGCAGTACCAAAAAAAGCATGCCATATACGAAGATCTTTAGTTGCCACTGCTTCAAGAATCATAGTAGGAACGCCTTTGTTACCACTAGTGAACATGCCTGCCCAACCTTTCGGACAATTCTTCCATGGCCAATGCATACAATCGATGCTTCCGTACATTCCAGGAAAACCACGAGCCTCATTTTCTTGTAAGATTTTTTCCAATTCATCGGCTCTTGGCAGGCGTAGATATTCGTCACCAAACTTTTCAATCACCCCTTCAGCAAATTTTCCCAAACATTCCAAACAAGTGCTTGCAGCAATCCTCAAGACTTCATCAAGTTGATCAGCCGCGGTTCCATAACCTAACATCCTGATAGCTGCTATACACTTTTGAAGCGGTGAAAGACTATTCCTACCAGTTGCATCAACTCGTTGGGTGAAATAAGGAGACCACTCACTAAGTTCATGTACGATACGCAGAAACAACGGCCGTCTCATCCTAAATCTCCTACGAAACATTTCATCGGTGTAGATAGGATTTGCGGAAAAGTAATTAGCGACAAGATCATCATGACCTCGTTCTCGATTTCTTGGTATGTACCTCCTTGGTCCACTCTGTCGACGACGGCGAGATACGGACGAAGCTTCTCCATCACCTGCAGCCTTGAATTCTTCTGCTAGCAACTCTTCGATGATCTCATCCTCTGCCAGCAACTCTTCTACGGTGAACACTTCAAAATTGTCGGCTTCTAGGAAGTCATCATCTTCATGCGGCTCCATTTACAGAATGAAAAGGAGTAGAGGGTACGGTAGTGGAAAGGAGCACATATACATAATGAAAAGGAGTAGATGGTTCCATTTTATAGTATAAAATTGAGGCTTGAATTCACGTTCACATTCACAGAAACGGGCATGCACATAACTGAAGCATTCACATAATAAAGGAGCACATATACATAATGCCTGTAACTGAAGCATGCACATTCACATTCCAGAAAGAAACTGAAGGGTACATTCACATTCACATAAGCAAATTAGTCCTCTCGGCACTCCAACAGAAACTGAAACTGAAGCATGCACATTCACATTGCAACAACTGAACCTGAAGCATGCACATTCACATTCCAACAGAAACTGAAGTGCACATTCGCATTTACAAATCACATTCACATTAATTCAGAAACTGAAACTGAATGAGACCTCTCGGCATTCCAACTGACCTCACAGGATGTATATATCTACCAGGATGTATACCTCCCAGCCATGACCACAATCAAATCAATATTTAGCTCCCAGTATATACCTCCAATGATCAAGCTCTGAATTTATTTCCTAAATTTCCCCTTTCTGATCATTTGCAGATTCTCATCAAAGTATATGTATAGAGACATACACTGAACCTGCTGAAAGATTATATATACTCATCTTTTTCCCTAGATTATATATGTATAGAGACATATATGTATAGAGAGAGTACAAAAAGAAAAGGAATGCAATAAAAGGCTAATATGCTCATCTTTTTCCCTAGATTATATATACTCCATATCAGTAGTATAGTGTATCACTGAACAAGCTAGTTCATTTCAGTTACAGGGTTCTAGCTAACTAAATCTCTGCATTTGAGTTTGGCTCGCTTTTGCGAATTATCTCATGGCAGCTAGTTCATTTCAGTTACAGGGTTCTAGCTAACTACTGTAACCATATAACAAAGGAAGGGATTACTGACATTAATAATCAGGTAGTATAAACAGAGTAACATCTAGAGATAGCTTCATCCAATCCACAATCAATTCATAATATAAACAACCATCAGATTTTTATTTCTCTCAAAAGTTGAATATAACCTCAATATCATTAGGATAAAATGCTGCATGATGCAAAAAAATTTAGAGTCAAGTAATTAAATTGTAGAATGCCTTTTCCAAACGAGCTGGGGCTGCCGCCGCCGCATCCGAGGCCTCAGGTGTGCCTCCCTTCTTCTTCCTACCTGCAGCCGCCGTGGACATCTCAGCAGCACCCAAATCAAGCGAGGGGAGTTGGAGATTGGGGGAGTGGGAGATTGGGAGAGATTGCTGCGCTATATGCTGGAGCAAATTTCCCGGATTGGGGGAGTGGGAGGGGAGTTGGACGAACCTGGATTTCGCGGGGAAATTTCCCGCGCGCGCGCTCTCCGCGCGGGATCCTGCCGCGCCGTCGCCTCGGGACGACGAGCTCGTACAACGGTGCTGAGCTTGCCTCTTCCGCCTCGGAGCACGGGTCGTCGCCATCGCCTCGCGAGAGGACGCAGCTCCCGTCGCTTGACTCAACCGGGGGGTTTTTTGCATAAAAGACATCACAGAGACGGGGCAAAAAGACCCGCTGTACGTGCCCTTAGCCTGGCCGACCGGGTTGTAGTACAAGTATAGAGCAGAGACAACTGTATTTTGATTTTTGCATGTGCAGCTGCTCACCAGGAGGGATTATAAAAACGAAACTGGGTTTCACACACACAAAACGTTTAACGTGCACGTTGGTTTTATGGTTTTGTGTACCACTTGGCAGGATTGATTCTTGGAACTTGCAGTGTGGATATCATCACCGTAGTCTACTACTGGATGCTTATGGTGGTGTTTGGATCCAAGGACTAAATTTTAGTCCATGTCATATTAGATGTTTGACACTAATTAGAAGTATTAAACGTAGACTAATAATAAAACTAATTGCATAAATGAGAGCTAATTCGTGAGACAAAATTTTTAAGCCTAGTTAATCCATAATTAGCACATGTTTACTGTAGCATCACATAGGCCAATCATAGATTAATTAGGCTCAATAGATTTGTCTTGCGAATTAGTCTAGGGATATGGAATGGGTTTTGTCATTAGTCTACGTTTAATACTTCTAATTAGTGTTCAAACATCCGATGTGACAGGGACTAAACATTAGTCCCTGGATCCAAACAGGGTCTATATATCTTCTCCGACGATCATGGGCGGATCCAGAAGAAGATTTAAGAGGGGACTTATCTCCTTCTTCCTTCTTCAATCTCCCCTACTCTCATTTTCTCTTTATTATTGCCCTTTCGTCTCCCCTTCTATCAATGGTGATCTAGCGGGGTAGGGGGACTCGAGTCCTCCCAGCACCCACGCTGGATCCGCCCCAATCGACGGTAGGAGCGAGTATTAAAAAGTGGATAGGTCTAAGTGTTTAGATGGAGAAGAAAGAAAGAAAGGAAATGCGTTGTATGCACAAGAGATGAGCCATGTATTCATGATGTAGTACATATTTATATGTTACTATTATATGAGTAAACTATTTGATTAGCTAAAATATTAATTTTTAAAGTTAGTAATTGCTGTACTATTAAACTTGTTCTAATGCTAGAGTTGATCTGATGACTCGAAAAATGGAGTTTAAGGCTGCGTTCGAGCGCAGGAGAAAGAGAGAAAGATAGTTTTGTTTTCCGCGCGCACGCTTCCCGAACTACTAAACGGTGTGTTTTTTGCAAAAAAAATTATAGGAAAGTTGATTTAAAAAATCATATTAATCTATTTTTAAAGTTTAAAATAATTAATACTCAATTAATCATGTGCTAATGGCTCACCTCATTTTACGTATTTTCCCAATCTCCTCAATCCCCTCCTTCTCAAACACACCCTAAGGCGTCAGGTGTATGATGCAACAGCAAACCGATCAACAGAGCCATGGTTCAATGCAGCTAGCTAGTTTAGTGTAATCGCACAATTTCTTCACCCATCTACTAATATGCAAATTGATTAAGACTCACCACACACGGTAACAGCTATAAGTCTACAACCGATGTACCGACCGGCACCATTTGCATGCGAGTGCGCGATTAATTCACCAAATTATCAACCCATGATCATCAAGTTGCCCCATCTTTCTTGGGACAAGGAAAAAACACGAAAGTGTCCGTCACAGTCTCGTTTTCTCCCCAACTTTTGAACTTCCTTTCGAAGCTAGCCGGATTGTGTACGTGATCTTGGTGTTGTTTCGATTTTTTTACTTGATTAATGGTGTTGTTTCCATGCACGATCCTACCCAACCCTTTATTATTTCATTTCATCGGCAAATGTAATGCCCAGTGACGGAATTTGTTCTGACCATGGGACTCAAGAACTGTTCGGCTAAAAACGTCACTCATTTTTATCCAAATCAAATGGAGGCACAGAGACCGGCAAAAGTTTGTGGAAGTAAATGCACCGGGGTGTTACGAGAGTCGTGGGTGTATGACCTTATTAGGGTTTAAATTCCAATACCAATTCTATAGAAATTTAGCGAGGCTATGAATTATCATTGGTCTCCATTTATTTAAATGCATGCTAGAAAATATTTTGTAGGCGTGTAAGATTGCGTTCAGAAGTGAGGTGAGAAACTTTACCTCCCCGTATGTAAAACGGAGCGATTTACTAACGCATAATTAATTAGCTAAAATAAACTTGAAAATAGATTAATATGATTTTTTTAAAGCATATTTTTTTAGAATTTTTTGAAAACGCTGTTTAGCAGTTTGAAAAATATAAATGCAGAAAACAAGGACATTTAGCATTTTGAGAAGAGCGCGCGTGGAAAATAAGATTAGATGGTAAAAGAATACCAAAATATGGTTTATTAACTACTATTAGTACGTGTGTGGTGATATGTGATACATGTGTGGGTGGGTGCACAGAGATGGACAAAATAAAACGAGACCGAAAACCGATTTAAAAAACCGGAACACTAATCTTATGTTTCTAGTTCGGTCATCTTTTGATAAAGACCGAACATTTTTTTAGGTGTCTTCAGTCGTCTGTCTCAAAGGACCAAATACCCGAAGTGCCCAAAGATAGGGCTTGCTTAGTTCGCTGGCCAATTTTTTTAAGTATATAGGCACATTTAAAGTATTAAATGTAGACTAATACCAAAACAAATTACAGATTTCGTCTGTAAACTGCGAGATGAATCTATTAAGCCTAATTAATCCGTTATTAGCAAATGTTTACTGTAGCATCACATTGTCAAATCATAACACAATTAAGCTCAAAGATTCGTCTCGCAATTTACATGCAAACTGTACAATTGATTTATTTTTCGTCCATATTTAATATTCCATGCATGTGTCCAAACATTTTATTTGATATTTTTGGCCAAAATTTTTTAGGATCTAGATACTCCCATAATCTAAGTATGTGTTTTGTTTTGGGATGAGGTAAGATGGGTTGGACTCATCCTTAGTTTCGGATGCGATTATCTCGTCTGTCTATTTAGCACGAGGGATGTGATGGTCTTACTTTAAAGAGGATGACCCATATGTCAAAGAAAAGTGGGTTGGATTGATCCGCTAGTTTTTGAGGAACCAGTCCAATCCAAATCTCAGGAGAATATCCATTTCAGGGATCATCCCCTCTCACCTATTCCCAAACCAAACACCTTAAAAAGTGAGTTCGATCCAATCCAACCCACTCCGTCCCTTAAACCAAACACATACTAATCTAACCATCCCAAGTGCACTTTAACTCTCTTAAATATATATTGAGCCGATCCATACCCCACAACCGAAAATAATACTAACTCCTACAACCATTAAAAATGTGTAAAATCTCTGTGGCCCAAGTGGCCTAGTCCAAGCACCTCTCCCACTTTCCCACGTATAGGAGCCAACTCATGAAAAGAAAAACAACCAAAATTTAAATTTTCAAATTTAATTTTGAAGTTGATTTCAAAATATTATTAATATATTTTTAAATTTACTTCTAAGTTGTTAAAGAACACACGTTTAAATGTTTTACCTAAAATTTATTTTTTATTTTCTAATGAAACATTTTAGCTCATTAGAAAACTTGGGCAACAGACTAGGTGGTGTTATTTTCTCCTAATATGTAGATGAAGTTTTTTTTACGTAAAAACGGGGTGGTATTAACGTATAATTGATTGAGTTTTAATTATTATAAATTTGAAAAATAGATTAGTATGATATTTTAGAGCAACTTTCATATAAAAAGTTTTCGTACGAAACGTATCGTTTAGCAGTTTGAAAAACGTGACATAAAAATCTTAATCTTTATCCAACTCTTATTAGAGAAAATAAGATTACGTTATTACCTAAGGGTGTGTTTAGTTCACGTTAAAACTAGAAGTTTGGTTGAAATTGGAATGATGTGATGGAAAAATTGGAAGTTCGTGCGTGTAGAAAAATTTTGATATGATGGAAAAGTTAGAAGTTTAAAGAAGTTTGGAACTAAACTCCTGCAATGTTCCAAGTTTCAACTCGTTTCACACGAGCCAGTGTCACCGACAAGCAGGACCCACGTGGCAGATTTTGGCGCCGCCGCGTCGCCTCTACTCCCTCCAGCGGTCAGCCTCCTTCCCAAACAAGCTACCGCCCAGATTGAACTTGAACGAAAACTCTGGAGGGAAAACTCCCGCCAAGATAAAATCTTCCCCCAAATCCCTCCTCCTTCTCCTCGCAATCATTCCTCCCAAATCTGAAATCTTGCAAGGACTCCACGCCCGAGAGGGAGAAATCGAGGGATCGGCAATGGCGGACACGGGGAGCCTGGAGAAGATGGGGCGAGAGCTCAAGTGCCCCATCTGGTGAATGTTTGATTCCCCGCTCGATCGATTCGATTTCCTTTTTTGCGCTTCGTCTTTGGATTCGCGTTCTAGGACGATTTTTGGTTCTTGGGTTCATCTCTCTTTTTTCTCGGCCATCTTGTTTTCTCCTGATGTTTTGTTGGTTGATTCTCTCCGTGGTCCTGAAACTATTTCTCACGGGCGATTTTCTTTTCGTTCGTGTGGCTTGCGATTTGTTGTGCTTTGTATTGATTAGAAATCTTGTTCTTGGCAGCCTGAGCCTTCTCAGTTCGGCGGTATCCATCTCCTGCAACCACGTCTTCTGCAAGTAAGTCTTCATCTCTCACTATTCCGCCTCGTCGTAATGCAGTTAAAATTCACAGCGTCCTGGATGGTCTTCTCCATTTCGGGCTTATATGCTGAAATTTTCCCCATTCTGCAGTGATTGCCTCACGGAATCGATGAAATCCACGTCGAGCTGCCCCGTGTGCAAGGTCCCGTTCCGACGACGAGGTTAGTGTTGTGCTCTTGCTGAATTGTGTCTACTTAATCACGTGATAGGCATGAAAAACACACGAATTAAACTAACTGCCTAGGTTTAGTGTCACTCATGGATCGGACATTGAACTATTAGAGTTTCTTATGTACTCCAAATTCGTAGTAATAGAATATGTCACGTCCGGTCCTAGATTCGTTTTTTATGGGACTGAAGGAGTAGTGCTTATCGGACTGCCGGTGATAAATTTGCTTTTCGCTGAGCATGGGCAGCACACCTCATTCAGCAATATTTCAAAATTTGATATGAAGTACTGTATTTGATGAACTTGACCTTTAGTGGAAACTTGGATATGATACCTTAATGGCTTCAGCTTGATATCTACAAGGTCCAAAACTGACACTCAAGGGCTTGGTTTGCTTGCAGAAATGCGACCAGCACCTCACATGGACAATCTGGTCAGCATTTTCAAAAGCATGGAGGCTGCAGCAGGTACCAATGTTGTCTCAACACAGGAGGCTCCTGTGGTAAAACTTGCAGGTAATTGTGTTGTAGCATGTTCTTATTCTATTTTCTAGCATATGTGCAAAGTAGCAACCTCATTGATTGATTTAGTTAAAGTGATTTTTTTGTAACTCCTTTTTTGTACTACACTGTTCAATTCAGTTACAATGTTTGTTTTGCATCTCTTCTGTGCTACATTGTCAACATAAGTTAACAGTGATTGTTCTGTGCTTCTTTGTCTGTACCCCATTATTGAATTCATTTCAACATAATGCTTGCTGGATAATTGGCTCTCTATGAAAAAAAATCTATGCTTAGAGAAGATGGATAGTTGTCAATCTTTAGCTCACTATCTTGTTCATGTTTGAAGATGGATCAGATTGTGTCAACAGCGGGAAAAATTCCAAAAGGTCACAAAAATCATTGACACGAAAAAGGAAGGTAACATCCGAGATGGAAAAAAATACAGCAAAGGATGCTACAGCTTCTGCATCCCAACCTACTACAAAGCCTTCCTTCTCTACTAACAAAAGAATACAAGTGAAACCATTCCCTGAATCTGAGACACCAATAAGAGCTGAGAAGATTATGAAGCCTGAAGAGCCAAAAAATAATCTGAATAATGATGTTGAAGGAAAGAATAAAGCAGTGGCATCGGGTCAACCTGGAAGTCCTTCATTGTCACCCTTTTTTTGGCTAAGGGAACAAGAAGAACAAGAAGGCTGTACCGCTGAGACGTTAAGTGAAACGCAATCTTTAGACACACCCTTGCGTCATAATGCACCCTCTTTTAGCGATATTAAAGATTCTGATGACGAAATCCCTTTAAATACAACTCCAAATGTAAGTTCTTCTGACCACCTCTACCGTTCTTTTTGAATTTTTCTTTTGGCTTCTCATTTTGCTACATGAGTTTCAGAGCAAAGCTGCGGCTACAGAACTCTTTGACAGTGAAATATTTGAATGGACCCAGAGACCATGCTCTCCTGAATTGTATTCCACTCCATTGAAAAAGCAGGTATTTTGCTAAGTGCCTAAGTGGATCAAGAGGCACTATACTTTTCTCACTTTTTTCCTCTTTTATGACCTGTTGATTTTCATTTATTTTGCATTTAATATTTGATGACTCAGCTATTTTGTCTGTTCAGAGTAAAGCTAAGAGTAAACTAGATCAAATTGAAGAGAAGGGTGATGAAGAAGATGTGCATATTGGTGGTTCATTTGATAAGCTGGGTAATGCAAGTAATGCAGCTCAGCTTGTCAATACAAAAGCAACAAAGCAGAAGAGAAAGAAAACAAGTCCCAGTAACAAAAACAGTGCAAAATTGTCCAATCGTGCTGAGCCCTGCATAAAAAAGTCTGATGCCAATCAACAAGGTTCAAATAGACGTAAAAGTGCTGCCCTAAAATCTTGTCAGAAAAGCAGCAGTGCTGTAGGGAGGAATACTTCAGGTAGAAGAAACAAGGCCTCTAGCAACAGCAAGCCAATTCATGGCTCTAGTGATAACTCCCCAGAGTCATATCTTCCTAAGGAGGGTTTGGATGTTGAAGCACCTGACAAACCCCTTTCTGAAAGGATCCAAAACTTGGAGAAAACTAGTCGACGAAAGGGAAGTGCAAGGAAGCTGGAAATGGCAGGGAAAACTATTTCAGATACTACAGAGAAGAATAGTGAGCCAAGAAGTAAGAGAGTCAGAAGAATGTCTGACCACGCTATAGCTAAACCGGTTGAAGTTCCTTCAGGATCTGGAAATGAAACAGAAATACCACAGCTTCACACCCTCACAAAAGGCAGCATTCAACGCAAATCCTCCAACGCTAGAAGACATAGCAAAGTTTGTGGAGAACAGGAAGGTAAGAATAAACTTGAGAACACGACAATGACACCTATTATTTTACATGGGAAATGCCAAAATAAAGAGGCAGTATGTACAGCTCCTTCAGTAAGGACTGCATCTGTTAAGTACAAGCAAGCAAAATTTAGCGAACAACCAGATTGTTTTGGAACGGAGAACTTTGGAAACCTTCAAGCATGCCCTGCACGTAATGTTTTACTGAAGAAGTGTGAGGTATCTACTTTGAAGGTTTCCTGTGCTTTCTGCCAGACCGATGTCATCACAGAGGTATCTTCTGACTTCTGCCGTGTTTATATGCAAATGTCCTTTTCTCCAAATCTAACATATTCCCTGCTAATGAACATACTCCTAGAAGATAACCAAATCTCCCTCCTTTTCTCTTTTAGGAGTCTGGAGAGATGGTTCATTATCAAAATGGGAAACAAGTCCCTGCAGAGTTCAATGGAGGAGCCAATGTGGTGCACTCTCACAAGAACTGCCTTGAGTGGTTTGTTATCCTTTCTAGTGCAAGATAATATCAGAAAAAAAAAAGATTTCAGTATGCAATATTAATCTGAATATTTTTTATTATTTTCTTGAAGGGCTCCTGATGTCTACTTCGAAGATGATTCTGCCTTTAATCTTACAACTGAATTGGCGAGAAGCAGACGGATCAAATGTGCTTGCTGTGGAATTAAAGGAGCTGCACTTGGATGCTTTGAGATGAGTTGTCGGAGAAGTTTCCACTTCACCTGTGCTAAACTAATCCCAGAATGCAGATGGGATAATGTAAGTCCATATGGTGTTCTTTATATATATTTTGAGGCAGTGGTTTCAACTATACCAGAATCATTTCTGAACGTTTGACAGCCATAAATCTGTACCTTATTGTTTTGTTTCAATTTTTTCATTGGCAGGAAAATTTTGTGATGTTATGCCCTCTACATCGGTCTACAAAGTTACCCAATGAAAATTCTGAACAGCAAAAGCAACCTAAAAGGAAAACAACACTCAAAGGGTATCTTTTGAACCTGTTGTTTGAAACATGTTTCTTAATGGTTGAACATTGACATGTACGAGCACTTACTGTAGAATAACCGGCTTTTCCAGGTCATCTCAAATAGGATCCAATCAAGATTGTGGTAATAACTGGAAATGGCCATCTGGATCACCACAGAAGTGGGTTCTCTGCTGCTCATCACTTTCTAGTTCTGAGAAGGTGCTTTCGAAAATTAGTCTTATTTTCCTGACCCTGATCGAATTAATGGCATTTCCTTCATATGCATTACAACTGAAACAAAATGAATAAATTACTCAGGAACTTGTATCAGAATTTGCAAAGTTAGCTGGCGTGCCTATTTCGGCAACTTGGAGTCCAAATGTTACCCATGTTATTGCATCAACTGATCTCTCTGGTGCTTGCAAACGGACGCTGAAGTTTCTCATGGCAATCTTGAATGGCAGATGGATTGTCTCCATAGATTGTAAGGCCATGTGCTACTAATATAACTGTGCTGAACAGCCTATATTCATATTGATCTGGTGCCCCTTGTTGCTAACTGACAACTTTGTGTCATAGGGGTTAAAACTTGCATGGAGTGCATGGAACCAATTGATGAGCACAAATTTGAAGTCGCTACTGATGTTCATGGGATCACTGATGGTCCTAGGTTAGGAAGATGCAGGGTTATTGACAGGGTAAACATTTCTTGCCATTGTTATGTACCTCATTTTCTTGCAAGGATCACTAAAAAAATCTTTTGATAGAACAAAATTGGTGTTAACCTGAAAACAGTGCCAAATCTACTTGTCCGTTGGAACAATTTTAGCTTGATATAAAAGAGGACAAGCAGAAAGTACCACCAACATGATATGTTGCTATGAATTAAAAGAAACAGGCCGTAATACTTCATGCAGCCCTGCACTTATGCATGCCATAGAATAAATTCATAGACCTGGTGTTGACAATTCCACACATTTGGAATTTTGGATGTGTTCTAACTTCTAAGCAATCTCACGTGGGTATTTTTTACGCCTAACAATCACATTGTTTTTTGTTCTTTTTTACCCTTGCAGCAACCTAAGCTGTTCGACAGCATGAGGTTCTACCTCCATGGGGACTACACAAAATCCTACAGAGGCTACCTGCAAGATCTCGTGGTTGCAGCAGGTGGAATAGTTCTTCAGAGGAAGCCCGTATCAAGAGACCAGCAAAAGCTTCTTGATGACAGCTCTGACCTCCTCATCGTTTACAGCTTCGAGAATCAAGATAGGGCAAAATCCAAGGCCGAAACCAAGGCTGCTGATCGCAGGCAGGCTGATGCTCAGGCTCTTGCTTGCGCTTCTGGAGGCAGAGTTGTGAGCAGTGCATGGGTGATTGACTCAATTGCAGCCTGCAATCTGCAACCTCTTTGAATCTAGAAGACTGCCTGGTGCCAAAATGCGAGTTCGATAGAGTAAGAAACAAGATAGAAATCTAAGATGCACAGGGCTTTGTAATGAGACTTAAATTATTTGAAAATAAGTTTACTATGCGTTGCAAAAGAAACTAGACTGCATTTCTATGGAAGTTGACTGGATAGTCATGCGCCAGATGGTTTTCCTGGCCTCCTTTTGTAATCCGTTAGTGCACAACACAAACATACAAGAATGATGGCATCAGGCACCAAAAACGTTTAGCAACAATAACAAAGATTAACAAGATAATTCTTAGTAGCTTATTGAAAACAGAACTTGAGTAGGCTTGGCGAGCTGGATCAAGTGACATTGGCCCTATTTGGGAGAGTTAAAGATTCTGAGAATTTGATGGAGAAGCTAGGTTGTTCTTATAATATAGGTGACAATTTGTATTGTTTGGAGAGTTGTAGATTCTACAGGAAGTTGTAGTTACCGGAAGCTCCCCAAACAGACCCATTATCAGTCTTTAGGCTGTGTTCTAATGTCCAAGTTCCCAACTTCAGATTTTCAATAGAAAAAGTTGTTGTAAAAAAATCATATTAATCTATTTTAAAGTTTTTTTTATAATACTTAATTATATGTTAATAATCAACCCCGTTTTCCATGCACGGGGAAAAGTCGGAACATAGCCTTATAAGTTAAACTCTTTAGACCCAAACACTTGGCCCATCCACCTTTACAATCTTTCACAACTAACTCGGCCCACTTAGGACTCACGTGCCAAAAACATGGCGTCGCCAAACAAAAACTATGCCAAAGTTATTTGTACCAAAGCGTGTAAATTTCAACTTGTTGTTCTGATAGTAACTACTCTCAACTTGTCAATTACTCCCTCCATCCTAAAATATAATAACTTCTCCACCAACATTCTCTTCTCAACCAATCACAGCCCTCCACCATTCAATTTTCCCACCTGCCTCCACTTCTCCTCCAAGCACAACATTCCTCTATTTAATCCTACCAACTTTATTAATAACCGTGTCCAACTCTAAAAATACTTATATTTTAGGACGGATGGAGTACTTATACTGTGACTGCAATTTACTCTTTATTTTACTATTAGTTGCCACACTATTCACATTACACAGTTAGTTCAATGGTGATCTAACATACCCATTATCGGTCTTTAGGCCATGTTCTAATGTCCAAGTTCCCCACTTCAGATTTTTAATAGAAAAGTTTTTGTGGGGGCTCCAGCCCCCCAACATCCACATTGTATCCGCCCAATGGACAAATGGGATGGACAAATAAGGAGAACTGCTATATTGCATAGTCCCCATCTTTCAGTAGCTACGGAGCAACATGTATCTGTTATCCCATTGTTTTGCATCTGCATCGTAAGAATTTTTCGCTATCCTTGTCGGCCCCTTGTTCACCATAACCTACTACGAATTAGACAATGGTTTTCTCCGTTAAGCATGGATTGTCGTAAATAGAGCCAACCTTGTATGATATGAACGATGTCGGATCCACCACGACGGGCCGATGTGCCACCGCTACCATCAGCGCGAGCTCACTGCTGTTGTCGCTCTGCTTGTAACTTGTGATCGATGTGGTGTGGTGGGCGAGCTTGGAGGCATCACAGTTGCATTCCTTGCCTATGGATAGTCTAACTGCATGGTGATCCCGTCATTCTCGGCAATCCACTCCAATGCCCTCCTAGATGTGTGGTTCAAGGCGATGTCGGCGTAGTCCACCAGTTGCTGCTCAGATAGAGGGACGAGGTGCTCTGTCTTGATGTAGTGGGCGCTCTCCACAGTTGCCATGGCCACGAAGGCCCAACACGAATCCATATTGTCCAACTTATACATAGGCCTGGTTTAGTTACCAACTTTTTCTTCAAATTTCTAATTTTTCCATCACATCAAAACTTTCATACACACGCAAACTTCCAACTTTTCCGTCAAATCATTCCAATTTCAATCAAACTTCCAATTTTGGCGTGAACTAAACACACCCATAATCCACTTACATAAAATTTATTGTTTATTTCATAATCACCAATAAGACTCATGGTGTAAGCACATGCAAGGTTTGCCATTTCGTTTTACATATTTATATTGGGGCTAAAATTTTGAAATCTTAGAAATTTCAGGACACAAAATTTGAAATTTAGATAGATTTTGATTGAGTTTGAATAAATTTTGACCATATTCAAATTTTTATAGAAAATTTCAAGCGAAATAGTTTCATGCCAGGGGTCCGAAAATTTGGAAATTTTGAACTAAAATTTCAAACGCTAACTACAAAAGCATATAGTTACTAGTGATATGATACTCCACATCACATGTCAGAGTAAAATATTAAGGGTCACAAGTTAAACAAAAGATAGTTCATAAATGCCTATGGTTAATGGTTAATAGTACCTCCTGTCACAAAATAAGTAATGTTTTAGACAACTACACGGTCACCAATGCACTTGTTTTATTATAATATTTTAAAATTTTATTTAATATAAATCTAACCATATTATTTTTGAAAGTTGGATCAGAATATTTAAAGAAAAATTGATCATCAAAGTTGTATTCCAAAAATTTGTGAATGATGGAGTACAACATTGGAGTAGTACACTCCAATATGGTGATCGTGGCAACGTGGTACCTCAACTTGTTTCAATATGGTGACCATGGCAGCGTAACACCTCAACTTGTTGAGTTCCATGGTGATGCTCTCCAATTCTCACTCGAGAGAACGGGGAGGGGGCATATGTCCCCCACGACCAAAAAAGCTATCTCATACGACGGGAAAATCAACCAAGCCTCATACGACGGTAAAATCAACGGTCTTGGTCTCTCGTACTCCCTCCTATATATAATATATTTGAATATATTATTAGACAAGGTTTTCAAAGTTGAACTATAAAAGTTAAATATAGTATATTTTTACTAGGGAAAGTGAAACAACAATCCAGGCCATGCTTCAAAATTTTCCATTCCAAAACATCCTGGTTGTTCAATATATTTTATGTGATTGTTCTTAACATCCCGCCATACGACACTATAAGCATGCAAGTGACCAGCAGCGGAGCCAAGGCCCGGCCAGGCTCCGCCTAAGATGCTGTAGTAGATTAGCACTTCATTAATCATGCAACAATAGAATATTTTTTAACTAATTACCCTAATGAATGTTTGATTAGTTGAGAAAATTAGCAAAGCATATAATTAAGGCTCATGCCATCACATGTTTGCATTCTATATATGCCATCACAGCTCATATACAAGCGTACAGCTTTGATAATACACAATAATCGTCATATCGATTTTAACTCTTACACCAATTAGCTCGTACTGTTAATTTTACTTGTGTCAATGGTAAAATGGTCCGTAGAGTTGTACAAGTTCATTTTCATTTGTAGTACTAGTCATCTGTCAGTGGCTTGCCCGGGGTCAATAAAATTTTTTAGATCCGCTACTGCAAGTGAGCATGTGGTCGCTCAGTCACTCAAAACAATGTGTAGATTCATAGAAGCTATGATTATTTCTTATGCAGGATAATGAGTACCGGAACCATTGGTCTATTCATCATTTCAAACGGTCTATTCATCATTTCAAACTTGCAGCTCATCCAAGTCTTCATTGGCAAGCTTGATGCAAATGATTCAACAACATCAAGTTCATCCCTAAGGATCATAAACAAAAGATAAATACATCTAGCCTTAGAATTATTTGAATAGAATGCTGTCAAAAAACAAGAATTTGCTGACGTGTTTAAAACATGCGAAAATCATCATCAAAGACATTCTTTTTGATAATTCATCATATACCACAGTTCAATCTAGCATGTATATCTATAAACCTAGAATAACATAAAAAATTACAACGAGCAATCAGCGTAGCCTTACAGTACATGGGCACATTATTAGCATTCGCATTTACCTCTCACCCAGATGTCCAATGTAGACAAGGACACTTATGAGACCCCCCGAACTGACAATTCTGCTGGCAGCTTGCAAAGCCAGCTCAGTTGTCTTAGCTACAGTGATCATTGATTTATCTCATCCTAGAAGATAGCCCAAGTTGAATGCTACAAGCCTAGAAAATAAAGAGTCCTTAATAATTCAATCAAAACATAAAAGATCTTAATTACTTGATCCAATAATTTCAACAATAATCTGTTATGAACCCTGTTAACAAATGAGTAGGTAGCTTCTAATACCAATGAATCAGAATGGCTAGCTCACCTGACAGGGAAATCTTTAGGGACAACCTCCTCCATTCTACTTTGACAGATTGTAAACAACTTGACAAGTTCTAGCTGCAACCAAGAAAAGTTATTGCAACGACCACAAAACTGCAGACATTTCATGAGGCAATGATGCTTTGTTTCTATATACTAAGGTCTGAGCATAACACCACAAAAAGCATATAGAGTACCCAAAAAAACTCAACACATATGAGTATAGTTAGACCTTTCTTTACTGTATATCAACAACATTATCTGTTCATTTTCATTTTCATTTCTCATTTCTAAAGAACAATAAAAATATTTGAAAATGAGAGAGAAAAATAAATGTATCCCGTATCTAGGATAGTTAATTTCTAACACAATGTAGCAGCAAAATCATTGTTCCCACTTCCCCTGAAGTTGCTGCAAATGCATACCTCATGGCTATTGACGGCCATTTTCAGAAAAGAGGAAGTGCTGGCTATCGCGGACTCCTGAATGTCCAACCCATATACACGACCTTGTACTCTTTGTCTCTTTCATCAGCTACCATTTTAAGCATAGCGAATGTATCATTGCTGTTCCTGCATGTGGCATCAACCACAGTATCCCCTTTCCGAACAATACTTCTCCACACCCTAATCATACAACCAAAAGACAAAGATATGAATAGCTAAAGCGTACATGTATTCTTTTACACATCTCCGGTTAAATCCTAGAGAGCATTTCCCATTAATGGAATTTCCATCCCATACTCTGTCAAAAAAGAATCCCATTTCATAGTTGCCCAGTACACTGTAAATTGCACTAATGTAGTAGTAGTGCTTACTTTTAGGCTGAAAGGTAAATATCTCACGCATAACAGAAACGAAATTGCTGTACATTTGTCGAATGATTTTCGGTGGCTGGATTCGTCGTTTTTTCGGCCGTCCCATTACAAACTGTCCGTCCGTCCATCGTGCAAGCCAGCCAGTTGCTACTCCCTCCGTTTCAAAATATTTAACACTATTGTCTTTTTAAGTACGTGTTTGACCATTCGTCTTATTTAAAAAATTTAAGTAATTATTTATTATTTTCATATCATTTGATTCATTGTTAAATATACTTTCATGTACATATTTAGTTTTACATATTTCATAATTTTTTTAATAAGACAAACGGTTAAACATATGCTAAAAAGTCAACGGTGTCAAATATTTTGAAACGAAGGGAGTATCATACTTAAGCTGACACTTTTTTAACCTAGGAAAAGGATAGCTATCCCTCGCCCCCGCCGCCGCAGCTCAACCAGCTTCCGATCAAGACACAGGCCAAATTTCTCGGTCTCGGAGAATCGGAGCGCAGAGAAGAGCATGGAGCAGGAAGCTGCCGTGAGAGACCAGGTGGAGCTCACCATGCGCCTCCTCCACCACCTCCTCCTCGACGACAAGCACGGCACCACCACCAACCTCGCCTTCTCGCCGCTGTCGCTCCACGCCGCCCTCACCCTCCTCGCCTCCGGCGCGGCTGGCGCCACCCGCGAGCAGATCGTCGCCTTCCTCGGCCCAGCCGGCGCAGACGCCCACACGGCGCTCGCGTCCAAGGAGGCTTCCGTCGGCGTCCAGCAATCCCGAGGTCCGCTCCGCCATGGCCGTCTGGGTCGACGCCTCTCTCCGCCTCAACCCCGCCTTCGCCGACACCGCCGCCTCCGTGTTCAAGGCTGCCGTGCGGTCAGCCGGCAACCCCGCGGCAGCGAGGGCCGAGATCAACGAGTGGTTCAGTAGCCAGACCGGCGGCTTCGTCAAGGACATCCTCTCCAACTCCATCGACGACGACGACGACGGCAGCGGCGGCGGCGGCGGCGCCATCTCCGCCTCGGTCTTCCTCGCCAACTCACTCTACTTCAACGCCTACTGGGACCACCCCTTCTTCCCGCACCTCACGGAGGAAGGCGACTTCCACGTCTCGCCGGACCACGACGTCCGCGTGCCATTCATGGCGGGGAGCCACCAGCACGCCTTCATGGACGTCGGCTGCCACCCGGGCTTCAACGTCCTGCGCATGATGTACCGCACGGGCGGCGCCGCCGGCGGGGACAAGATGTTCGCGATGTACATCTACCTCCCCGACGACCGCGACGGCCTCCCGGAGCTCGCGCGCAAGCTCGCCTCCAACCCGGCCGCGTTCCTGCGCAGGACGATCGTGCCGGCGCAGCCTGTTGCGGTCGGCGAGCTCAAGATCCCCAAATTCGAGGTGTCGCTCAAGGTGGAGGCGTCGCGTCTCCTCCGGGAATTCGGCCTCGACCTGCCATTCCTCCCCGCCGCCGACAACTCGTTCTCGGGGATGCTGCTGGACCCGCCTCAGGGGACAGCCGTCTCGTCCCTTCTCCACCAGTGCTTCGTCAATGTGAATGAGGAAGGGACCGTGGCTGCTGCGGGCACCGTCGGGGAGATCATGGGCTTCGCCATGCCGGACGATCAAATCGTCGATTTCGTCGCCGATCACCCCTTCCTTTTCTTCATCGTGGAGGAGGTGAGTGGCCTCGTGGTGTTCGCCGGTCAAGTCGTCAACCCATTGCTCCATTGATATGCTTCTTCATTGATGGTGCGCGTCAGTGCTGAAGGAACTGGAACAAAAATATCTCGATCGTGTTGTTGTGGTTGGTTTTATGCTTAACAGTACTCCTATAACGATGACGATGATGATGGTTTCAATAAGTTAAGATTTATCATGTTAATCTTTGTTATTCCTGGTAGTGTTTTTTGGAATTGAAATTTAAAGTATACATTATTTTTCATAATTTTGCATACATATACATGTTTTAAAATATTTGTAGAAATATACATTTCTCGCGGGTTAGATCCGCACCACACCGTCATCATAGCTCAAAGGCGTGAAACTGACAAGAGGGGTGGTCTAGTGGATTGGTCATGCAGGACCGACTGACTCGGTATCGTGTCACTGCCAAGAGCCTATTGCGTTCATAACCCAATTACAACCAGGAGTGGTGAATTAAGCATGCCCTATTGGGTCTTGGGTGGTGTTGTTCCGACGGCCCACGTGCTATTTTACCCAATGCCTCTTTCGTTAAGCATTACCGTGTGGTAATATTATTTTCTAAGGGTATTAGCATGCTCATGAAGCATCGCGACTAGCTTTTTATGTAAGTCAGATGTTGATTGAAAAACACATGATTTAAGTCGCGGTTGGTTCAGAGTTACGCGCATCATATTCTCAAGACGCGGTTGGTCCAGAGCTGCCCACATCACATTTTATGTAATCGGTATATCACTCGGGTCATATCAATCGGGGATTCACACCATATATATTGCGTCCAGGTGTAAGCCACTTTGCTAACAATGATTATTATTCTTTACTCAACTAAGCACATAGTCATGGGCTACACCTAATAGATGCATCTATTTGATGCACCTATTTTGTCAATTCTTTGGAAAGCTCTCTACAACCTCTTTGACACTTGGGAAGCCTTCATAGAAAAGATTGAAGCACTCAGTATTCGTCAAGAATCACAAAGAAGACCGCAACTCAACTGTGAAGATCTCGGGGACTATTGTGGAGGTTATTGGTATCATGTTCCCACACAGCCTACATATCCGACTACAGATAGGTGGAATGCATCCATGTAATATTAGATAGAGTAGGACTTTGTTGCCATGTTACCTTATGTCTCAAGGCAGGGTATAGAGCTTCGGCTGAATATTACGTTGTATAGATTACAAAATTAAAGTTGTGTTTTTCCTCCTTGTAACCTTCCATATGTAAGGTGAACAGGGAGTCCCTTCAAAGGCATGAGGCAAGAGATCCACAAGATAGACACAACCAAGAACACCATGATCAATACAATTCGACAGATCCAATCCACAGGCATGAGGCAAGAGATCCACGAGATCAACACAACCAAGAACACCATGATCAATACAATCCGGCAGATCCAATCCACGAAACAAGAGTAGGGTATGCCTAAACATGTCTAAACCCTTGTCTCCTTGCATCCATCCACTTTAATGTCTCGTGTGCTACCCCTTTATTGTTGCCAATACAAAACATCAACACAACCCTAAAAAGGAGTAAAGTCACGAGTGTGGCTCAAAGCAATTGCCCTTCGTTTAAACTGCAGTGCTTGAAACATATATATAGTTGTGAAGCTCTCAAAAGTTGGCCTGGCGAAAAAGAAGCTCTCAAAAGTTGTTATCAATACCCACAGCTGTCCACCCAGTAAAATCCTATGGAAATGCCTTGTAACTTCAAATCTTGAATCCTTGGTCATTGTGGCACTTGGCATGCAAGTAAGCATGTGGTCGCTCACTAACTCCGTCATTCCCCACAAGTAGGTCATAGAAGGTGTGATCATTTCTTGTACAGGAGAATGAGTACTGGAGCCGCTGGTCTATTGAGCATTTCAAACTTGCAGCTCATCCAGGTATCAATAGGCAAGCTTGATGCAAATGATTCAACAACATCAAGTTCATCCCTAAGGATCATAACAAAAGAAGATAAATAAATCAAGTCTTAAAATTATTTGAATACAATACTGTAAAAAAAGATTTTCTGATGTGTTAAAAACATGCGAAAATTATCATCAAAGACATTCTTTTTGTTAACTTAATTCATCATATACTACAGTTCAATCTAGCATATATAGCTGCACATCTAGAATATGTATGAATTTACAACGAGCAAGCAGTTGATAGCCCTATGTATTGTACATGGACACATTGTTAGCATTCGCATGTACCTTCCACCTGGATGTCCAATGTAGACAAGGACACTTATGAGTCCCCCAGAACTGACAATGCTACTGGCAGCTTGCAAAGCCAGCTCAGTCGTCTTAGGTACAGTGATTATTGTTTTATCTCCTCCTGGAAGATAGCCCAAGTTGAATGCTACAAGCCTAGAAAATAAAAGAACCATTAATAATTCAATCAACACTTCAAAGATCTTAATTACTTGATCCAATAATTTCAACAATAAACTGTTACTGAATCCTGTCAACAGATGAGTTGGTAACTAGGAATAAATGTGAATCAGAACTCACCTGACAGGGAAATCTTTTGGGACGACCTCCTCCATTCTACTGTGACAGATTGTAAACAACTTGACAAGTTCGAGCTGCAGCCAAGATAAGTTATTGCAACAACCCCAAAACTGCAGATATTTCCTGGGAATATGGCAATGATGCTTTGTTTCTATATACTAAGATCTGACCATAACACCACAAAGAGATAAAAAAAACCAAAAAGACTCAGCATATATGAGTATTGTTAGATCTTTCTCTGCTATCTATCAACAACATTATCTGTCCATTTTTATTCTCATTTATAAATAAGCTAATCTTTGGAAACGAGAAAGAAAATTAAATGTATCCCCTATCTAGGAGAGTTAATTTCTAACACAATGTAGCAGCAAAATCTTTGTTTCCACTTCCCTTGAAGTTATTTCAAATGCATACCTCATGGCTATTGACGGCCATTTTCAGAAAAGAGGAAGTGCTGGCTATCGCGGACTCCTGAATGTCCAACCCATATACACGCCCTTGTACTCTTTCATCAGCTACCATTTTAAGCATAGCGAATGTATCATTGCCGTTCCCGCATGTGGCATCAACCACAGTATCCCCTTTCCGAACAATACTTCTCCACACCCTAATGAGAAAACCAAAAGACAAAATGTGAATAGCTAATGTGTACACGTATTCTTTTACACATCTCCCGCTGAATCCTAGAGAGCATTTCCCGTTAACAGAACTTTCATTCCATATTCTGTCAAAAGAAAAGAAAATTCCCATTTCATACTTGCCCAGTACACACTGTAAATTGTAACTAACGCAGTATAGGAGTAGCAATTACTTTTTAGGCTCAAAGGTAAAAACAAGAGATAATTTACACGCTACGCAACAATGGGGGTTTAGTACCTACGCGTGGGCTAACTCGGTGGCCTTCCGCTTGCCGGTGACGAAGCCCACCACCGCATCCTCCACCCCTGCAACTGCAACGAACCCCAGCCATTCCACTGTGTTGTAACATCAAAGCTCACACGCAAACACCGAGTCTACTCACGACAAACACACGGCTTAGAAAGGAGAACGCGCAGACAAACCTCCGGCGGCGAGCTCCGCAGCGGAGGCGCGGACGGAGAGGCCGCGGCGCTGCCTGGTCGGGCGGAGGAGCGGAGGCGGCGGGCCGGAGCTGGGGCTTCGTCGGAGGAGAGGAGGCAGTAGACCCCGGGACCGGAGGAGGAAAGCGGCGTGCGGCGGAGGCGGCATCGCGGCGGCGGCGGATGGATTCGAGGGGCGTGGAGTGCTGGATGGGGCGAGGAGGCGGCGGCCGCGGCAGCGAGAGTGTTCGTTGGATTGGAAATCGGTGGTCCAGATGCGTCCATGGAAGTTGCGTTGCGGCGCGTAAAATAAAATGGAATAAAAATAAGAGGCCGGAGCTCAGTATAGCTCTTGACATCTGGGAATTAGATGGTTTCGTGACGACCCAATCGGTCACGGAGCATTTCATCATCACTCGGCCAAATTTTGTGGGGTGAGAGAGGCTCGAACTCTCGACCTCAGGATTACTCACGTTTTAGCTATGAGACCTACGCGCTAGCCAACTGCGCCACCACCCCGTTGTGCTGAGTAAGAAAACCGAAGCTATACATCTGGCGGAATGATAGAAATCTCATTACAAATTGTCCATCGTGCAAGCCAGCCAGTTGCTAGTTGCTACTACATCTTGATAGCAACTCACCAGGAAACACTACGATGATTGTATAATTCAGGATCGCGAACCAATCAGCTCCTTTCAGGAGAGTAACGGCTAGATCTGAAGAAATTACAGACTTTAATTCAGTCATCATCAGCCAAAAGACCGCGCCCTTTTTTTTTTCTTTTTCAGTTTTTAACTTGAGTTGTTTTCGCATACACCAAAAAATGGACGCGAATACATTAGCGTTATAACGAAGCGTCATGGGCAGTAACATGAATTTTAGCATTCGGTATTATTTTATCTGGTTTCCATACACTTTTTTGACAGCCCGAGTAAGAAAGTGAAAAACAATTTTTTTTACAGGCTACAGCAGATATCACAGCATGGCTAGAACAACGAGCGCCTATAGGCATGTCACTCTAGGCCTTTGGTCCCGATTGTGCCACCTCCTTACTCCTGTCATCAGCACACAACTTCAATGCAAAACTTTCATCAAAGAACTGCACCAGGCCATCAGATGTATAGTAGTAATACTCCTATTTGGTTACTGCAAAGTAGGTGCAAGCTCGGCTTTTTTACGTCTGACCAAATTTTGCACAAAGAGCTCTCCCGCACGATACGAAGACCGAACCTGAGAAGTCATCAACAGTAGCAAGGATAAATATGCATAAAATTCTACTACCAAGTTAACAACCAACAAAAGAGAAGGGCCTTTTCTCTTTTGAAGATTGTCTGGATAACCAGGAAATACATGATCTAGATGGTTCAAATACGACGGTAGCAATATTCCTTTCAAAACAAGGGCCATTAGTAGAGTTATCATTTTCTTTAAATACTGTTGCTCATATTATTAGATTTTATCTATAAGAATAGCAGACTTTATGTGAAGCTTACCAGAGGTCCACTAGCAACATAAAGAAAACCCAGAGATTCCCCATACTCCTTCCAGAAATCAAACTTCTCAGGAGTCACATATTCTCTGACCCGCAAGTGTCTTTCTGTTGGCTGTATAAGCAAGGAGCATTGGATGATACAACAACAAGAACAAAGGAAGTCCAGGAGGATATAAAAAGCGCTGGCAAAGTTGCTCAAAGATCAAACCTGTAAATATTGTCCCAAGGTCAGAATATCAACGTCAATGGCCCTCAAATCACACATGGTTTGCTTCACCTCTTCATCTGTCTCACCTAGACCAAGCATGATAGAGGACTTCGTTACCATACCATCTTTGCAATTTTTCGCATGTTTCAGAACAGCTAAACTCTGATCGTATCTGTGGAAACGAGATAATAAACTGGAAATAAGATAATAACTACATTGCCAAGAGTCAATATGATGACATTAGAGATTTTACATAGTTTCTTCAAGGATTATCCCTCAACCTCAGTTTTCAAAATTAGATGTGGTAGGTTAACAGTCATTATTATTGGATAGCCTAACTGCCTAAGACAATCCTGGACCTCAGGACCTCTGTATGGGTGTCATGAGCTCTGGAGGGCGTATTAATGACGAAGTACTTCAGATTTAACATCTAGGCAACCATACAGTGTTTTGTGGCTGTAATGAAAAACACAGAGAGAATTACGCTGCTCGGGGATCTCTGACTATTCTCTGCAGACTCCTCACAGTTTCAATGTTGTGTGCAAACACATCCAAACCAGAGCTTGCCAAGGATGAAACTGCCTCCAGGTCACCTCGAAAGTCTGAAGTTAGACACTCCACCAGTATACCAGGTTTCAATTCCTGAAGATAAGCTAAAAGTTTCTTCAGTACAGTACAACCACCAATTTAGTGGCACAACTGAATGGCGACCGACAAACCTTTAGAGCCTTCACTGTTTGCGCAAAATGGCCACTTCCACCATCAGGAAGGTCATCTCTATCAACACTTGTCAGCACAACATAGTCTACGCTGCAAAAAAAAAAAAAGAAGCATCGGTTCTAAAGTCTTTTGCATTATCATCTCAACATGCCAATAATGCAATAATCGTCGGTGGATCGTACCCCCAACTTGCAACTGCCACTGCTGTCCTGAGAGGCTCCAGGGCATCGGGCGGCGGAGGCTTGTTACTGGTTTTCACGGCACAGAATCGACAACCACGGGTACAAGTGTCGCCGAGGAGCATGATCGTCGCCGTCGCAATGCCGTCCCCGTCCCCACCTGCACCGCCGCCGCCATCCCAACACTGAAATATACCACAATATCGCAAAATCAAACCCAAAAAAAGAGAGTTACAACTTTGTCACACCACAATGCATTTGGATTTTCCCCGCAAAAAAAAATAATGCATTTGGATTTAAGATTTTTACATGTTTGATTCTATTTTACCTCACCGATGTTGGGGCATTGGGCCTCGACGCAGACGGTGTTGAGCTTGAGCTCCCCGAGCGACTCCCTCAGCCTCGCGTACTTCTCCCCCTGCGCCGCACGCTGTCTCAGCCACGCCGGCTTCCTCGCCGCCGGGTCCCTCCCCGTGTACGGCCCCGGAGGCGCCCATCCCGCCACAGCACTTCCCTCCGGCGGCGAGTCCGCGTCGCATCGCACGATGGACACGGAATTGGGCCGAGCACGGAAGGTCAGGCTTGCGGATCCCGCGTGGATCGAAGGCCTCGCGAGCGATCCCTGCATTGTGGAAGGCGAGACCGGGTGGTGGTGGTAAACCCTAGAGCAGTAGGCCGCCATTGCTGCGCTGCGCAGTGTAGGCCGCGGAGGAGACGGGGTTCCCAGTGGAGGAAGACGGAGTGTGGTTTTACGATTTTGCCCCTGGGATTTGGGGGCTGGGAAACGTGGACTGCGTGGGTAGGATGGTGAATTTACGGGAGACGGCGATGGCACCCAAAGCCCCCGCCAGTTATGGTGCACAGGTGACGCCGTGACGACGGCGACTGGTGGGGCAGCGGAACAAGTGCACAGTCGGGGTCACTTGTTTAAATCCTACAGTATTTATTAGTGGGGAACTGTTTCAATGTGCAGTTTTGTTGTATTTAAATTTTGTTCCTATTGAAACGAAATGTGTACTGCTACGGCTGCGTTTATTTGCGTTGGTTGGGAACCCTCTCCGGCACAAATAACGGAACAGCTCATTAGCACATTAATATTAATTAAGTGTTAGCTAAAACTAACTTTAAAAATTGATTAATATGATTTTTTAAGAAAGGAATATTTTAAAAAATACAACGTTTAGCATTTTGAGTTGAGATGGGAGCACAGGCAAATGAAACCTATGAGTTGTGGGCTTCTGGCTGATGATATTTGTGAAATTTTAGCTTAGTCTTGTTATTTTCACCAAGGCATTTTACAGTATTGATTTTATCAATGTTTTCACATAAATATGGCTGTTTTTCCTCGCAAATAAATAAATAAATATCAATATGAGTGTTCTTATATATTGATAACTCGTCGGGACAGCCATATATACGTATTGATATTTCTCGTGTGTTTCTATGTCATTTTCTCGATCATTCAGGTTTATCATTGAAATAAATGAACTATGGTCATAATTATGCAAAACTAAACGTCTTTTGAGTTTAAACTTTGAATTGGGAGACTAATGTACCATTTGATTAGATTATTAAGCATATTATTACGACAGATTATCCATGTGATCATAGGGATAGATTAAAGGTTTTAAAAAATAAACTTAACAAATAGCTTAAAACAAATCTTATAAGTAATACAATAGAAAAAAAGTTTTTTGAGGACATTATTTTTTATCTGAAGAGGAGCCTAGTACTTTGGCAATAAACATACAGTCCAAGATCACTTAAGGCTTATTCGGTGCCTTTTTTTTTTGTCAATATGTTCGTGACTATAATTACTAAATATTGATAGAGATTGGTAAGCTTGTGATTGTAAAGTCTTATTTAGTTCATTGCCCTACCAAAATTTAGTAGATGTTTTTTTAACAAATTAAACGAGCCATATGTTGGGATACATATGTTGGGATGTAAGCTATTCAAACTTTCGCCATACATATGTTGGGATGTAATCATTCTCCTTATCTTAAAAACTATTGCCACGAAGTTGAGCTTTTTATCTTGGAATCAGCGGTACCTCATATGTGATCAGACAAGGTAAAACCCTCTCCTGAATAACTTTCTTCATGCCCCCAATCTAGACTACTGGACAAGCCAAATGGCTTCCATCTCTTACAATGTCCATCTATATCTTCTTGGTATTGTTCTTATCTAAATGACATCCATATCTGAATCTAGAGCAACACAATCATTTTCCCCTTTGACAATGTCCAACTAATCACGGTTTAATCTGTTAACCAAGAATCAATACACACGCCAATGATGGTAGAAACGGAGCCATTTTTCTTTGTCCAAAATGAAGGAGTCCGGACGATGACCGGATCATGGCTTGACTTTTGGGTATTCCAATATGCTATACGCCTCTATTTGAGAATTTGGCTTGAAGAAATGTGCAGCTTCAGCCTTCAGCCATACCATCATCGGGTACACGCTGCGGTGGGTGTACCTGCTCCCCAATGGTCGGTGAAAGAAAGCTCAATGGTAACCATCATGGTACATAAGTACAGGTGGTTAATTACTCCAATTCCATATCTTTTCAGCTACTTCACAGAATAACTGTCGCGAATTATTTGCTCTACATTGCTAGATGTTTATTAATTTTGTATATCAAAATAATCCGATGAATAATCTATCTCAAGCTGTGATCCTTTTTCATTGCACTTTGGCCCCTATTATTTCGTTTGTGCTTATATGCCAAAATTTGAATTTTGAAACCTAATTTTTAAGCTGAATTTGTGACATCATTTGCATTTGAATCACGGAGAACGTGAATATATTATTTTGGTTGCTAATAAGCCGTATGAATAAGCATCGGCATAGGTGAAATGGTGGGACTGTGAGTCTGCACGGTTTAGAGCTTCCACATCACACATTCAGGTTGTTAAGATTCAGAACATGTGTGTCACTGTCAAGCTCATGTGGTTCAGGCACCAATGGTGGTGAGAATAAAAGCGCCTTTTGGGATATGCTAGCTTAGCTCTGCTCTTTGGCAAGTGTTGTGGTTGCTACCAAAACCGCAGGAAGGATATATTCTCTTGGGGACATAGGAACAAGGCATAAGGACATGTCCCTGGTGATACTTCAGTTGGGAGTAGTAGTTTGGTCCTATAATGCTGGGGTTAGGTTAACTTAACCAGATAAGTGTAGTTCAATAAAAGTTGTAATTACGTGGCTTTTAGTATCAGAAAGAAATTGCATTTGGCCAGCTAGAAGCAAACCTGACACATCATCAATATACTTTCTGTCCTAAACCGCAGTCTTATCTACCTGAACTTGATCAACAATTATTAACACGGTCCGAACCATTATTAAACGGGAGTTCGATTAACAAAGCCATTATCTTTTGTACCTCACGTCGCATTAACAATTGCTCTCATGTCAAACGCAGCAATTGTCAAAACCCTGGAGCATTACTTGATTTCTTCTCAACAACTCCAGCCTGCAAACTGCAGGGGCAAGGGTATTTATTTTCTCATGTCCTCTCAAAGCAAAAATGGGAGCATCCGTGAGCGCCAATATGTATAATAAGCTCTAATATCTACAAATATTACATACAAATATACACACTTTCACATATTCTTTTACCAGTAATATAGGGTACTAGGTAGGCTGTGGATTTGTCACTAATCAAACGCCCAAATACTCCAAGAGGTAACGACGGATGTATACATGTGATAGTGATATGGATGTCTAGGGACTAAAGATGTACTCCTTTCGTATTTAAATATATGGGGCACTGATAATTTTATCCCATCAAACTTTTAAAATTTAAACCACCAATGACACTTAAAACCATGGTGGTTTTCTGTTTAGAGGTACTTCTACATAAAATTATATGCACAGAATTTTCTTCATAGGTACTTTTGCAATTACCCCTCTATTATATTCAGAATAAAAATAATAATCAAAGTTATAGAAGCAAAATTGGATTGTATCGTATATTTAAATTCGGAAGTACCAGTATATATTTATCGACATAGTCTTCGGAGATGTTTATATGAACAAGTTATACAATGTGTACGTTTGTAATGATGAGTATGCATGCATTTATATGAACATCGTGTTTAAAAAATACATTAACAATAAAACCAGTGTTGTGGAAAACGGTTGATACGGCCGTTTATACGCCCGTTAAAACGTATGCGGCAAGCTGCCCGTCACGTTTTCACGAAACGGTCTTCTTGGTTGTCCTGAACGCGTAATCAACGTAATTACCGATAAATCGTCCGTTTTTAACTAATCATCATCCGTATAATCGGGCATGATCACACAACTATCCTGACCCATAGTTGGCCGTACGTTGTTTGCCCATCCAAATCTATCCCAGCCTAAATCTCACTGTTTCATGCACAACTATGGAATGGATTATGAACTTTAATATATGTTGAGTTAATGCCATGTCACGCTTGCTCTATTCTAATATAGTAATATGTTCAATATTTGTAGTTTCATACATTTACCTAAAAAATTGGCAAGCTATTATCAACTTTGTCCTTTTACAAAACGTCAAATTTTCGTCAAATTCTAATTAATCGTCCGCATAACAACTAATCATTTGGCGGTACCTTCTTCGTCCCACGTCCGTATTCTATCTTCCACAACACTGAATAAAACAAAGTTTACAAAGCGCGGGGGCGGGGGGCGAAATGGACGGGCGTGATTTTATAGCTGGGAGGTCGCGTTGTGCGCGGCAGGTGGGGGCCGGGAGACGCGAGGCGGAGGAGGAGGAGAGAGGGAAGGCAGCACGAAGTTTCGTTCCGGCGAGTCAAAGCCAAGCCAAAGCCCCAAAGCCTCTCTCTACTACGCCTCTCTCCACTCCTCTTCCCTTCCCTTCTCTCTTTTCTTTTCTCTCACACGCTTTGCCTTTTGCTGCCCGCTGCCTGCTTTGCCCACGAAAAGACAACCCAACCCGGCGAGTCGTAGCAGAGTAGAGAGAGAAAGAGGAGGAGGAGGAAAAAAAATAAAATTAAGGCAGTTCGTTCGTTCCCCACTTTTGCCTGCTCCAATCGCCGCCCCCCGCCCCGCCGCCTCGTCGCCCGCCCGAGATCCGCTCCGCGTTGCCTCCCGCCGCCGCCGAGGTGAGCGCGCGCTTCCCCGGACGACGCGGCTCCGGCCGGTGGTTTCGCTGTCTGCGGTGTGTAAGGTTTTTTTTGTTTGTTTGGAGCGGGGGTGCAGTGGAGGGGACTTTGGGATGAGCTGCGGCTGTGTGCTCAGGGGAGGGAGGGGTGTGTGTGTGTGTGTGTGTGGATTGCGGCTTGGTGGGATTCCGGTGGCGAATTGGTGACTCGTCGCTGTGGCGCGTGGTTGTGAGCTTTGGGAGTTGGGGGGTTGGGGGCGTTTGTGAGGCGATGGGGGGTTTCTGGTGCTGCTTTTCGTGGGTGGTTTCTGGGGGTCTCCCGGGTGGAGGCAATGTGATTTCTGGATCGAATTCTGCTACTTCCGGTGCCGGAGAGTTTTTTTTTTCTCTCGAGATTTTGTTTCGCTTGGAAATTGAGATCTTGAGGTGTTCTCCCTCAATCGTAAGCAGTGTTCTAGCTACCCCTTTCGATGGGATATAGTTCGAGCTCTCACCATGGTTTAATTTCAAACATGGAGTAGGCGTGGTTTGATTTCAAGTATGGAGTAGGTTCATATATGGCGGGGCAAAACATGGCAGGAACTTGTAACTTGTGAATATTTTATTTGAATTTTCATTCAGTCGTGTGACAGATGGCAACTGGGTGTAACGATTCTGATTGAGAATATTTA